GTATTTGTTGCATAAACAGCCTGAATGGAATGCGTGACTGTGGGGGTATTGAGGCTCAATTATAACGCAGGTGACTGCGAAACAGAACAAATTGGCCAACTGTGATACTTACCAAGACATTGTTCAGCAGCAGCTGGCAGCGTTTCTGTGAGCTGACAATCAAATTCTCGGCAAAGCGGAAATACCTCCCGACGTTCTCGTATAACATAAAAGCAGAGCTTCAATAATATTAAAATCTTGCCCTCGACAACGCGGCATTCATATCGCGGGGAAACCCAGAGACTCAGCTTTCATTGTCTATTCTATCTCAGATTTATATCGCAACAGATCAATGCGGCTCTGCGTGCCGGCAGGCCCCCCGTCTCGTTAATGTAACAAGCGCAGGAGTCAAGGTGTTCTTGTGGGAAAATTGCGGCTTTCCTTTCATCAAACCCCGTGTGAGACGAAGCCAATTTAAACCATGCTGTTGTACAAATCTGCGACCCCGCTTTTGAAATTAGCATTTTGTTTGAAAGCGCACGCGTCAAGGATGGTTGCGGAGTGTGAAGCCGCCGCACCCAGGGTTGAACAGAATGGGTTCTCACCTATACGGCTCTTTTTCAGAAGCGACCTGACTTATCAAAAATGATAGCTCAACCAAGTGGCTCATCTTCATTACGTGGACATTTATAGCGGCAGCCAAACACTCGAAACGCATGTTTCTAAAGGTGGAGGGAAAAACCAGGAGAAGAATCCACGTGGCCACGGGGAGAGAAACACTCAAGCTCCAAATATACAGCAGGCGTTCAGGTTCGGGATCAAACCCACGACCTCCTGTATACGAGGCGAGGTAGTTAACATCTCCTAGCCACCGTGGCACCGTAAACAAGTCATGCGCGCAGGATGCGATGTGCGAAGTCATTGTGGGAGGATGGATCCCACGGTTACAATTGCACCGTGAGTTGTCGAGGCATCACAACCACTAATTTATTATTACCATGACGCAAGCTGCTACCAACGAATATGCATAATTAAAGACGTCGTATATATGATATGTTGCATTATATAATATCTATTCATCCTTATAAAGGGCACACTTTCGTGCAAGCATGCTCAGTATGCTTAGGTATTAATAGTCCAAATAATACACAGAGGGCCTGGCTTTGGGAGAACAGTATTATACAATCATATACATACCTGTCAACCCACACGGTTTACCCCGTATTCTTGTACAGGGAAATTGAGTTTTCAGGTCCATACGGCGTACAGCCGTTTCAATATGGGCAACAACAAACATTTTTTGTATTTTTGTGTTTCTCTCTTGTGATGGGACTGTTGGATGAACGTTTTATAAGGGGCACGGGGTGACCAATTCGGTCTGAATTGGTCTGTAATAAGGTAGGGCACTGATAATGGTGTGACAAGTGTGCCTGTGTAGTGACATAAATGGAGTCACTATGGCGTCTAGCGCCAGCTACTGTCACCAGGGGAGGCATGGCATGGAAGCGGGGCCCTAGGGGGCATGGTTTTGATGACGGTCAGAGAGAGGGCAAGTAGGGACGTGACAGTCTGGGTGAACACTAGATGGGCACGTGACCGGGACAGGGTAGCGAGGGGGCCCAAAGGGTGGCTTTAAGGGGCACGTGATGCTCAGTCAAGAACCTTCTGGTGAGATCCAGAAGGGGGTGTGGCCGAGGGCGGAGCAAGGCCACGCCTCTCGGGAGCATAAAAGGGAGGTCCCGAGAGCAATCGCGGCTGTCTGCTGAAATGGAACCCGTCGGTGCTACGTCTCTTCGATCCTCGGTGTTCGGTCGTCACACTCGACATCGTGGGTCAGGCAGTGTGTTACTGACTGACCCGGTTATGTAGTTACCCCGTTGTGGTCGAGTTAACCCGTTGTTACGTTTAAGTAGGAGCCCTGTTGGGGCCGTGTAATAAACGTATTGCCTCCAAGTTCAAGTGTGTGCCTCCGTGGAACCCACAACACGTGTATATTCAAACAACTAAATTACATCAGTCGTGCATACCATACTCTTTTATTAAATGCAATGTTGTATTTATAATCGGGTAACAGCCCAATAAAATATGGTGTTTAATTTCTGTGTAAACATTTAATGAACATGTCTGTTAGTCCTTTTTCCAACAACTGGATGTCCACAGTTACAGAGTGTCCGGTCCACGAGTTTTCAGTCCTTTCTGTCCTGCTAACGTCACATCTTGGAACTGCCTCCTGGTCTGACTGCTGGGCTAAATGAACCTCATGGCGGTACCCCGGCTCTCGCACAATGTCCGTGATGCAGTAATTTTTAGTCTGTTGATGGTCGGCGATGCGGACTCATCTCGACGAGCTGCACACACGATGCACCACTACGGTGCATACCGCGCGCGTTCAGGGTTTCAGCGCAATCGTCCTCGCTGTGTTTCGACATCACAGAGTGGCACTGATTTCGGATTGATTGGTACCCCAGCGCCGGAGCGAAGTACACCCCTGAAAAAAATAGTGTCCCAGAAATAAAGTATTTAATTGCCTCGGCCTTTTTGTGTTATTTGGTACCCCGGGGTACCGCCATAAGGATCAAATGCACGTTGTGCTCTAACATTCACTCGTTCTAAGATTATCTGTTAACGATGAGATGTGCTCCCAATCTTTCCGCCGAATGGGCTACCCGTTTGTGAACTTGCCGATGATCAACCCAATGAACGGGACGTGCCGTGTGCCTTTCACAACGGAGACCTTGGACAATAATACAATCCAAGAGGGCGCACCGTGCGTGTGCGTGCACAGCAGTTGTACACGGCGTGTGTGCAATAAATAATTAATTGTCTTTATCCAGGAAAGCGACAGTGTCAGGACATTTAAATCGGGTGGGTTCTGCTGCATTTCTTGTACTTTGCACTATCATCGTATTTTGTTGTTGTAACATTCTTACCCGCCCCCTACTGAACATCTGTGAAAAAAAGCTTTATAGCTCATCGAATTCCTCCCGCAGTCTCAATACATATTCTGATTCTGCATTCGGATGTCTCACCTCACCAACTCCTCTGAGTGGTGCTCTGCCTGTTCCTATAAAGCAAAGTGGCCCAAGTCAGCCAGCGCACATACAGGACGAGGTCCACACTAATGGGGGGGCACTCACCCCACGCGTTGTCCCCGCCATCTCCTCGCTACCGCTCGGCGGCTCTGCGGGTTTTACGGCACATGCTGACGATGACAATCATCTCAAAGTGTTTCCGCCAATCCTCGCCTCCAAAGTTGCTGGAGTCATCTCCGGCTGTACATTATTAAACATTCTGTATGTAAAAAATAATTCTGTCTATAACTTATCACTCTGATGTTGTTGCTTTCTGAACAGCCGCCTACTGGACATTCGTGAAGAAGAGCTTCATAGTTCATCGGATTTCTCCAGCATAAATAAACATTCTGATTATAAACAGATTTGAAGTTTTCGTGACTGCAAGGATCCATACTCTTTGGTTCTTTCGGTAAAGTCACGTAGATGGAAATTTTTTATTTTATTTTATAATAACTACATTTTTATTTTTTATTTTCACCTATGTGACTTTAGCGAAAGAACCAAAGAGTATGATTATAAACAAACAAGGAATTAAAAAACATGTAATCGGTAGCCCTAGATTTATTGGTGGTACCCCTTTCAATTCACAAATCCTAGCTTTCATGAGACAGAAAATATATTGACCAGAAATAAAGAGTTTGTAGGGAGATAAGAGAAATGTGAAGATAGAGAGAAATACATCGAGATAGAGAGTAAGATGAGAGAAGAGAGATGCAAACAATATGAAGAGGCACAATCATATCAGTTTTCACGAGAATCATCTGTCAGAATTTGAAACGGAGATTATTTTTTGTATTCTCACGAATGATAGAGCCCCTTGAGCTCCACGGGAAATGCGGCTTTCGCTTGGTTTATTTGCTAATGAATGCGTGTCCTCGCCACTGACACCAAATATAAAGATCCCCCGTAAAGCCTTCACAGACTATTGGGGCAAGTGCTGTTAGCGAGTAGCACCTATGAAGGCCGGCACGGCACACGAGGCGGTGGGTGGCCAACACCACGCCCGGCCGCCTTTGTCTCTCCAGTGGCGATGTTTTATCCAAATCGCACCGGGGTACTCATTTGAGATCGAGTCGAGCTGGCTGACACCCACATAGCAGCCAACCCACACGGCTCACCCCGTATTCTTGTAGGGGAAACCAAGTTTTCAGATCCATACGGCGTGCGGCCGTTTCAACACAGGCATGAAAATAATGTTAGTAACATTATCTCGTATATTTGTTTGCATTTCTCCATTGCGATGGGACTCTTTGCAGGATGAACGTTGAGATTTACAAGGGATTCATACTCTTAGGTTGTTTTCGGTAAAGTCACGTAGGTAAAAAATAAAATAATATAAATAATAATAGAAATAAAATAATAAATCACGACGTTTCGGAGGCAACACAAGTCTTCGTCTTCAGGTGGAACCGTCACAGCTAGATTTACTGTATCAAGTGAGTACATTTAGCTGTGACGGTCCCACCTGAAGATGGAGACTTGTGTTGCCTCCGAAACGTCGTGATTTAATTGTTACTCTTAGTTCTTTCGGTAAAGTCACGTAGGTAAAAAATGAAATTAAAATTAATAAAAATAAAATAAAAAGCACGACGTTTCGGAGGCGTTTGATTTTATTTTTTATTAATTTTAATTTCATTTTTTACCTACGTGACTTTACCGAAAGAACTAAGAGTATGCATCCTTGCAGTCACGAAAGCTTCAAATCCAGAATGAAGTGATTTAATAGATTTATTTTCATTAATTATCATTTTATTTCTATTATCATTTTTTATTTTTATTTTATCTTTTATTTTTTACCTGCGTGACTTTACCGGAAAAAAAGAGTATGACCCCCTTGCTGCCACGAAAGCTTCAAATCTAGAATTGACAAGGGGCACGCGTCTGTAATACGGCAGGGGGTGGGGTCCCGACTGACGCGGGGTTGAGAGGGCGATGCACCCACCTCACCTGGGGTGGTGCCCGTGTTGATCCAGTCGGGGTTGACGAGGCTCACGACGGCGAAGACGTCGGCGGCGACGAAGAGACAGCCCGCCACGGCCGTCAGTCGGTCCATGGGCGGCGGCGGCGGAGAGGAGCCGAGGCCGCCACGGCGCCCGTGCCCCCGCGACAACCCGCAGGCGGCCCCATGCGCGGCGGCACTCGCGGACGCGCCGATACTTCCTGCTGCTCCTGCTTCCTCCTGCTTCTCCTGCTGCTCTTCCTCCTCCTGCTTCCTCCTCCTCCTGCTGCTCCTGCTGCTGCTTCCTCCTGCTTCTCCTGCTGCTCTTCCTCCTCCTGCTTCCTCCTCCTCCTGCTGCTCCTGCTGCTGCTTCCTCCTGCTTCTCCTGCTGCTCTTCCTCCTCCTGCTTCCTCCTCCTCCTGCTGCTGCTTCCTCCTTCTCCTGCTGCTCTTCCTCCTCCTGCTGCTGCTTCCTCCTGCTTCTCTTCCTCCTCCTGCTGCTGCTTCCTCCTCCTGCTGCTGCTTCCTCCTGCTTCTCCTGCTGCCTCCTCCTCCTGCTGCTCCTGCTGCTTCCTCCTTCTCCTGCTGCTGCTTCCTCCTCCTCCTGCTGCTACTTCCTCCTGCTGCTGCTTCCTCCTGCTTCTGCTGCTTCCTCCTCCTGCTTCCTCCTCCTGCTGCTTCCTCCTCCTCCTTCCTCCTGCTGCTTCCTCCTCCTCCTGCTGCTGCTTCCTCCTCCTGCTGCTGCTTCCTCCTGCTGCTTCCTCCTCCTGCTTCCTCCTCCTGCTGCTTCCTCCTCCTGCTTCCTCCTGCTGCTGCTTCCTCCTCCCTCTACTTCCTCCTCCTGCTTCCTCCTCCTGCTTCCTCCTGCTGCTTCCTCCTGCTGCTGCTTCCTCCTCCCTCTACTTCCTCCTGCTGCTATCTCCTGCTTCTATCTTCTTGCTGCTATCTTCTTCCTCTCTTCTGCTTTCGACGTCTGTCGGTCGGTCAGCCCAGATTCTTCAGCGGCCCACGTCGGCAGCAGCAGGAGGAGCAGCAGGAGGATGCTGGAGGCATCTGGTAGAGGCAACCTCAACGCCCCAGCCACCCCCGGGTAGCGGGCAGGCGAAATCGCGGGTCTGTGTGTGTCTGTGTGTGTGTGTCTGTCTGTCTGTGTGTGTGTGTCTGTGTGTGTGTGTCTGTGTGTGTGTGTCTGTGTGTGTCTGTCTGTGTGTCTGTCTGTGTGTGTCTGTGTGTGTCTGTCTGTCTGTGTGTACCTGTGTGTGTGTCTGTCTGTGTGTACCTGTGTGTGTGTCTGTGTGTACCTGTGTGTGTCTGTGTGTCTGTCTGTGTGTGTCTGTGTGTGTCTGTCTGTGTGTGTCTGTGTGTGTGTATCTGCCTGTGTTGGCCGTGGGGAGCGATAGTGTAGCGGTTAGCGCGCTGCGCTATGAACCTGGCGACCCGGGTTCGATTATCTGAACCGGTCCTGGGCCTCCCCTAGGTCGACTCGGCCTGAAATGAGTACCTGGTGCGGTGTAAACATCGCTACTGGGGAGACAAAGACGGTCGGGCGTGGTGCTGGCCACCCACCACCTCGTGTACCGTTGCGGCCTTTATAGGTGCTCGCTAACAGCACTTGCCCCAACAGTCTGTTAAGGCTATACGGGGGATTTTTGTCTTTATCTGTGTGTCTGTGTGTGTGTGGAGGGTTTGTTAGCTGGTGGTGGTTATGAAGAGGGTGGTGGTGGTGATGAACAAGGACAACAACTATCCCCCCGTGCTACGAAGGCCGGTACGGCACACGAGGGGGTGGTTGGCCAGCACCACGCCCGGCCGCCTTTGTCTCCCCTAGTGGTGGACACACACAGACAGACGTCTCAGGCTCGCTTCACCCACCGCTCTACAGCACAACGTCATCCAAATAGCGGGAGCCTCCCCGGTCCACCGCCAGACCTGAGCCTCCGCAGCTCCACCCGCAAGCTCCACCGACACCCAGCACCCCGCAAGCTCCACCCGCAAGCTCCACCGACACCCAGCACCCCGCAAGCTCCACCGACACCCAGCACCCCGGCCGGCAGGCGTCACATCACGGCGGGACGGTGTCCCGCGATGGCTGCTGTCTCGCCGCGTCTCCCTCTCTCACAGACGTCTGGGGTGCCCCCCCCGGTGGTGGTGGTGGTGCGAGGCGGGGGAGGGAGGAGCACGCGGGTGGGGGGGGTCACCAGACGCTGTCACCCTCCCAGCACCTATGGGAGGAAGCTGCGTGCACAACCACGAGTGGTGCACAACCAACAACCACCACGAGTGGTGCACAACCAACAACCACCACGAGGGGCGCGCACGTGGCGCAGAGAGCGACGCGTCTGCCGGGAGCTGCGTGTCTGTGCGCGCTGACGTCACGACGAGGACCCTCCCCCCTCCTCCCCTCCTCCTCCCCCCTCCTCCTCCCCCCTCCTCCTCCACCCCTCCCCCTCCTCCCTCCCCCTCCTCCCTCCCCCCTCCTCCTCCCCCCTCCCCCCTCCTCCTCCCCCCTCCTACTCCCCCCTCCTCCTCCACCCCTCCCCCTCCTCCCTCCCCCCTCCTCCCCTCCCCCCTCCTCCCTCCCCCCGTCCTCCCCGCCCCCTCCTCCCCTCCTGGTCTACCACCCCCACCCACCCCCCAACCGAGGCGACGGCCGAGTCGTGAGAATGTCGCCCTTGTAAACAACAACAACGACGACGCCGCAGACGAGACGCGTTGCGTCTCCCGCGGTGTGTCAACTTGACCGCTCGCTGCCCGGTGAAGCCCGATTATAATCTACGACGAAGCACTTCTTATCGTTGAGCTTTCAATCGAGACGATTTAAAAGTGCATCAGCTGCCAGTGGCTTCCTTAATACTGGTAGGAACCTCCTAGTTACACCAGCCCACAGTGGATTATTGTGTCCGTCCGTCGTGCAGGGAGGGGTGAGGGGCTGGGTAGGGAGGGGAGGGGCTGGGTGGGGAGGGGCTGGTCACCCCGTGGTGCCCTTATAAAACTCAACGTTTAACCTACTCACGCCGGCTTGTGCCCGCCCTCACAGTCGGCCATATTTGCGGAATACACCACGCCGCCGTTGACCCTGGCCATTGACCGAGCAACCCGACGTTCCTACCAGCTCCCTCCGCAGGAATGTGTTATCGGAAGGAAGAACGGTGCACACTTGAGGGCGGATATTGGCACGTAAACTAAAGATCGATCGATTCTTCTTCTCCGTTGGTGCGGCTGCTGCTGATGTAGGCGCAGAGCGACGGCTGCAATGCCACGTGCAGCTGGTCAAGCCCAGGCAGCCGCATCAGGAGCAGCAGCGGAGTCGTGAATCGTCGCTGCGGTGTCCCCTTCGGGTTTGCGGATCGGAGCGTTGCGTCGTTGCACGTTGCACGGTCTCTGTTCTGGATGGCCACGGTCGCACGCTTCTACTGCTGGAGGGTTTTTAATTTCCTATTTGTGCATCATCAGGCAACCCGCATCTACTGCCATGGCTTGTGCAGTGGATGCGGTTTAGGGGTTGACCACGAGCTTCGGGGAAGATCAAACGCAGGGATATGCTGCGCTGGGTCTTTCACCAGCAGTGATCGTGACTTCTTGTAAACTCCATTCAGCTCTTCCAAGCTTCATCGGCGGTTGAACTCGCATGGTTGAATCGATCGATTGATTAATCGATCGATCTTGATGAGACGCATGGCTTCTTGGCTCGCCCATGTCCCGGGATCGTCAACCCAAGTGAAAAAGAAGAGACGTTCTTTTTGTTTTGAAATCGGTAAAACGGAAACAGCTCGTGATATCAAGAGCCGCAATGCAAGCGATGAATACGAGACGGAGTCCTCAATCAATAATAATTCATAACAATGTATATGTAAATTATTCATAATTAATACGTAATTATTGATATTAATTCATAATTGACGTCGCGGGGCGGTTCCTTAAAGGAGCCGCAGTTTTCCCAAACCCTGCATCCAGTCCGACTCCAAAGGGAGTCAAAGTGAGTGGACCAAATTGTTTTAGACACAGGAACAGCAGCAGAACAGTTGAGACGTCTTGTCGCACTGGTTTCATCCTCTTTAGGAATCATCGGTGGCATTGGCCACTACTTTCTGCGTGCCGCCGGGGCTGAGGTTGCTATTGTCCCGGGTGAACCCCCCCCATGATGATGATGATTATAATCACCGTGGGGAGAACCCCAACAATACCCGCCACAAAGTGACGGCGAGGTCACCACGGCGCCTGTGCCAGGCTAGGTGCACAGGGGGTCATGGCTCAGACCCAGCAGGTGTCATGGGTTGGCCGACTGACTGACGCACCAGCTGCGCTCCCCACTGTGCCAGGCTAGGTGCACAGGGGGTCACGGCTCAGACCCAGCAGGTGTCATGGGTTGGCCGACTGACCGATGCCCCAGCTGCGCTCCCCACTGTGCCAGGCTAGGTGCACAGGGGGTCATGGCTCAGACCCAGCAGGTGTCATGGGTTGGCCGACTGACTGACGCACCAGCTGCGCTCCCCACTGTGCCAGGCTAGGTGCACAGGGGGTCACGGCTCAGACCCAGCAGGTGTCATGGGTTGGCCGACTGACCGATGCCCAGCTGCGCTCCCCACCTGTGCCAGGGCTAGGTGCCACAGTGGGGGTCACGGCCTCAGGTCCCAGCAGGTGCCATGGGTTGGACGACTGACCGAGGCCACCAGCAGCGCTCCCCACTGTGCCAGGCTAGGTGCACAGGGTCACGGCTCCCAGTCCCAGCAGGTTGCCATGGGTTGGAGGACTGACCGATGCACCAGCAGCTCTCCCCACTGTGCCAGGCTAGGTGCCTCAGTGGCGGTCCACGGCTCAGACCCAGCAGGTGCCATGGGTTGGTCGACTGATGCCACCAGCTACGCTCCCACTGTGCCAGGCTATGTGCACAGGGGGTCACGACTGATGCACCAGCTACGCTCCCACTGTGCCAGGCTAGGTGCACAGGGGTCACGGCTCAGTCCCAGCAGGTGCCATGGGTTGGACGACTGACCGATGCACCAGCAGCGCTCCCCACTGTGCCAGGCTAGGTGCACAGGGGGTCACGGCTCAGACCCAGCAGGTGCCATGGGTTGGCCGACTGATGCACCAGCTACGCTCCCACTGTGCCAGGCTATGTGCACAGGGGGTCACGTCTCAGACCCAGCAGGTGCCATGGGTTGGCCGACTGATGCACCAGCGAGCAGTGCCCCCTGTCGTCGCTGCCACGAAGTCCTCGCACCGCCCCCCCCCTAGCGAGGCATGTCGAGTCGGCTACGCACCACAACCCCCACCACTCATCCCACCACTCGCCCCCCCACCACCACTCACACCTCACCCCCACCACTTACCCCGCCTACCACTCACCCACCACCACCACTCACACCCCACCACTCACCCACCACCACCACTCACACCCCACCACTCACCCCCCCACCACTCACCCACCACCACCACTCACCCACCACCACTCACTCCACCCCCACCACTCACCCCCCACCACTCATCCCACCACTCACCCCCCCACCACTCACCCACCACCACCACTCATACCCCACCACCACCACCACACCACCACTCACACCACCACCACCATTCACACCCCCCCACCACCACCGCGTGCTGTAGGCGGCCGCGGCGTGAGCGGCCTTCGAGACCCCCCCGAGGGAGGGAGGCGCGGGGCCGCTCGGGGCCGCCGAGGAAGTTGGCGGCGCGGGGCCGGGAGGGACCCTCACTGAGCGATGGCCTCCGCAAGCATCGCCGCCGTCTTCTCCTACGACAACCTCGTCCATGCGCTGGCGGGGGCCTCGGTGAGTAGGGGGCAGCAGCTCCAACCTGCTGCTTCTTCCTCCTCCTCGTGGTGCTCGCAATCCACTGACTCGGGCCCGCGCGCTGTCGTGATGATGGGTGATGGGGGGTGACCGCTCTGGTTCGACTGCGCCGGTCCGGTTAGTGAGTGTGTGTATGTGCGTGTGTTGTATGTGTGTTGTATGTGTGTGTATGTGTCTTTTGTGTGTGTGTCTTTGTATGTGTGTCTTTGTGTGTGTGTTGTATATGTGTTGTATGTGTCTTGTATGTGTGTGTGTTGTATATGTGTTGTATGTGTCTTGTATGTGTGTGTATGTGTCTTATATATGTGTGTGTATGTATGTGTGTGTTGTATGTGTGTGTGTATGTGTTATATGTGTGTTATATGTGGGGAGCGGTAGTGTAGCGTTTAGCGCGCTGCACTACGGACCTGGCCACCCAAGTTCGATTCCCGCTCACGGCAAACACCAGTGACGATTATCTGAACCGGTCTTGGGCCTCCCCTAGGTCGACTCAGCCTCAAATGAGTACCTGGTGCGGTGTGTAAACATCGTGACTAGGGAGACAAAGGCGGTCGGGCGTGGTGCTGGCCACCCACCCCCTCGTGTACCGTTCCGGCCTTCATAGGTGCTCGCTAACAGCACTTGCCCCTACAGTCTGTTAAGGCTACACGGGGGATCTTTGTTATGTGTTGTGTGTGTGTTGCTGCGTGTCTCTCTCATCATCATCACGGTGGCTAGGAGATGTTAACTACCTCGCCTGGTATACAGGAGGTCGTGGGCTCGACGCTGACACCTGCCGCTGTACATTTGGAGTTTGTGTGTCTCTCTCATCATCATCACGGTGGCTAGGAGATGTTAACTACCTCGCCTGGTGTACAGGAGGTCGTGGGCTCGATCCTGACCCTGACGCCTGCTGCTGTATATTGGGAGTTTGCGTGTCTCTCTCTCTCCCCGTGGTCGCGTGGACTTTTCTCCGGGTCCTATGCGTTTAGAGTATTTGGCTGCGATCATTTTTTGTCCACGTGATAAGCCACTTCATGGGGCTCTCATTTGTGAGAGCCAGGTCGCTTCTAGAAAAGATCTACGTGCCTCAGTGGTTGGCCTTACCTGGTAAAATAAAAAAATAGTTTCACAATTTAACTTCTCAGTTTAACACACAGGTTTAGCGACCAATATCCATTACACAGGTTTTTTTTGGGGTTATATCGCGTAAATATAAATGTGTCGTTAGACCCGCCACCACCCGTCAGATCAAATTAGTAAGGTTTGTCACGTAAACAGAACATGCCAATTCGTTACTAGTGAAGAGGAGCCTTGAGATGGTTAGGCAGGATCTTTATTTACAAGGCAACTCACACCGTTACTTCCTCATCATCGAAAACCAACCTCCAAATCCTCCAAATTCTCTCCCTTTATACAGCCCGTCTCACCCCCTTCTTCGGGTTCTTTCCCCCTTGGCAATCCTTCGCGAATGTTCCCCACTCTGTTGGATTTTCTGTTTGCACATAGTCCCTTTAAGATGTTTTCTTGTTCATGTTTTTGTTTTTTGTTTGTTGCGGTTGCACCCGATTCAAGAGCCGAATGGCTCACAGGGCTGTACCTAATAAATGAACTTTAAACTCTGTTAATCCTCCTGGGGACAATCCGATCGGAGTGTCCTCCACCCAACAATCGGATTGCGCGTCGTACACGGCAGCGCTCCCGTGACCCTTAACCCTGGGTTGTGTGGTGTTTGTGTGCGAGGATGTCCCGAACATCCCCTACATTGGTACAGCACACCGGTGTGTTAGAGAGCAAATCCAGATTGTAAATGTTGTGGATTTGCTCGCCAACACACCGGTGTGCTGTACTATGGAGTTGAACTTGTGCTGTGCTAATCAGATTCAACGTGACCCCCCCCCCCCCGCTTTCCCCTCGCAGGGCAGTGTCACAGCAATGACCGTGTTCTTTCCACTGGACACGGCCAGACTTCGCCTGCAGGGTCAGTTTTTTCGCACGGTGGCGACCCGCAAATAAAAACCCCGCCGGGTCTGCTCGCTCGCTCGCTCGCGCTACGATAGGCGGCTTCGCTGGGCGCCGTCTCTCACAGCGGTGTCGGACTTTGTGCGTCGCGAACAAAAAAAAATGTCATCACGCCGCCCGAGCTCTTGTTTGCGTGCCCAACGCGTGGCTGTTCGGCCATTGTTTGTTTATTGTTTTCAGTTGACGAGAAGAGAAAATCAAGGTCCACCCCAACTATCCTGAAAGAGATAGTGCGGGAGGAGGGCTTGTGAGTACATGCGCTCACAGATGTATTCAGATCGTCCTTAAACATTGCCGCTTAAGCTTGCTCGGTTGGTGCGTAGAATTACGTGAAGGTTTTCTTTTCATCGCTTCTCAAAATGTGAATTAATGTCCCTAATTACAGCCCACATTACAGAGTACATTGTCGTCATGTTCGGAGCTGACGTGGCAAGAATTTCTGTTGGTTTATCTTGCCCTTAACCTTCATGGAGATTATTAACAACAACCTTGTTTGCAGTAGACAATTCTGGTTTCTTAATTGGAATTATCACCCAATTAGCACCAATACCAGGGTGTTACTGATGCAGGCAAAAATATAATTTGCGAGATATATTGTGTGAAGTTAAAAATACAAACTGACTGCTGGTATTGTGATTATGTTGTCCCTGTGGTCTGAAATTGTTGTCGTTCTTGTTGTTATTTGTATCTGTATTAGACAAGCCGTGTACCGGGGGTGGTTTCCTGTCATCAGCAGCCTCTGCTGCTCAAACTTCGTTTACTTCTACACCTTCAACAGCCTCAAGACCTTGTGGCTTGACCAGAGAAACAATTCCAGCCCAGGAAAGGACATGCTCATGGGATTCCTCTCTGGTGGGTAGAGGCGCTTTGAACCTCTTTCTGTCTTCATCATCGTGGTTGTCAATCCGCGGCTGGTTGAATTCCCCCACACCTCACGGTTCTACGATGTAACGATCGCCACATTGTATCCGCACGAAAGCAGATTTCATCTCTTTGGCATATGCCCTCTTGGAATTGTTCCATTCTTGCCGATAGGCCATCACGCCTTCGAGCGATGTGTCCTGCCAAAGCCCAGTTATGTTTCTTAACCATTTACACCTCACGGTGGCGAGATGTTAACTGCCTTGCCTGGTATACAGGAGGTCGTGGGTTCAATCCCGACCCTGATGCCTGCTGTATATTTAGAGTTGCACGTTCTCCCCATGGTCGCGTGGATTTTTCTCCAGGTCCTCCGGTTTTTCCCTCCAGCAAGAACCGTGCGTTTTAGAGTATTTGGCTGCTATAAGCCACTTCGTTGAGCTATCATTTGTGGCCAAGTCACTTCTCAAAAATAGCTTTATAGCTCAGTGGGCCTTATCTGGAAAAAAAATAGTTAACGAGTTAAATGATGTCTTTAATCTGCATACGTTCTCTAATCCATGCATTAGGGGCCATCCATTTAGTACGTACGCAAAAATCTGTCAACTTGACCCCTCCACCCCTCCCTGTACGCACGCGTACTTTTTACACCCCCCCCCCACCTGCGTACGCTTGACGCACCCCTCCCCCCCCGAATCCTATAGAACAGCCGATATTTAATCTACTCAGAAACAATCAAGGATGAATAATATTGACGTGTTTAAGCAAACAGATAGTTCACCGCCGGACTATCTAACTCATTTGAAGGCCAATGCAGACAAATTATTATCGATGCTTCACCCCCCCCCCCCCGTTTCCTATGCGTACATTGTCAGTAGACCCCCCATACGCAAGCGTACGGATTTGGGTGAACCCCCCCTCCATGCGTACGTACTAAATGGATGGCCCCTCATTGTTTTTACGTGTCAATGTAATTCCCAGTACACAAATTTCTCCGTACGTCCATTGCACACTTTTCAAGATTCCGTGTCTTTCGCCAATGACCAAATTCATGAACCATATGTCGAAACAAAGTTTCTGTAATAATCATTATTTGTGTTCGCTTACTGAACTTGAACTCGTGCTGTAGAACATTTCTATGACATGTACCCCCAAGCGTGTACGCCGAATGCCCTGTACACATCAAGGAAACATCAGTGGGGGTTCTTTATACAGCCGGTCTCTCTGGTTTATTACGGTCTGATTTACCACGATCCACATTCACCACGTTTATATAACTTGATTTACGACGCAACTTCGGGCACGACTCCCGAATGCATTTGTAACGGAGTCGGTCTGGTTTCCAGACGTGACTTGGCGTGGAGCTTTTGTAATTCTCGAGTGACTTTGTGGATCGTTGACCTACGAAACTGGTTAAATACGACCGATAAAAGGAAAAACACATCGGCAAGTGATGTTTCTACCATTTGCACATATGTATGTTGAACTTCCTTCTCGCCGTACGTAGCCCGCCGTGTTATATACGACGATCCGATTTGCAACGACAGGGTTTCCAGCAATGCAGTTGTGACGTCGTTAAAGCAGTCGTGGACCACCACCTGTATTTGGCGATGAAGAATCTCTGTGTGTGCGTGTGCCTTTTCTATCGTGTAGGCGCTGTGAACGTGTTGCTGACGACACCCATGTGGGTGGTGAACACCAGGTTAAAGCTGCAGGGAGCAAAATTCCGGAACGAGCGCATTGAGCAGACCAATTACAAGGGAATGTTTGGTAAGAAATCACGAGTTGTCTAAATTGAAAACTCACTTCTTTAGAACTGATATTTTGTGTTAAGTTTGGTGTCTTTCCCCCGCACCTCCGATTAGCACGGTTGGCTACGTAGGGTGTGAAAGAAGCTCAACATACATACATCAGAAAAATGTTCCTTGAAGATAACTTCACAGAACTACTTCTGAGGTCGATTCAATGAGGCTACTGATTGAAAATACAATCGCATATCAGAGCTGGTACTGTACTGAGGTTTCATTTGGGCTCGTGTCCTGCTTTTGCCTGAAAAGAAACCCAACATTTGCCGGGGCACTTCCTGCATTCGTAAACGATGAACATTGCCGTTCCTTACAATGTGCCGGGGAATACTGCTGCGGTGTTATGGTACACGGAGGGAGCTCAACCGGCCGGATTGGCTGCAGCGTCTGCTCCCGTGCATCGCTTTTAGTAAGCATCTCCTAGCCACCGCGGACCCTGCAATTCGGAGGGCCGCCGGTTCGTTGTCGTCATTGTGTGGCTGGCGTAAAAAAGAGCAATTTCAGGGCTGCGCCTTTACCTTGGACCGCATGCTGTGGCGCTTCCTTTTCAGATGCCTTCAGGCAGATCATAGAGAAGGAGGGCGTGAGGGCCCTGTGGAACGGCACGCTGCCCTCCCTGGTCCTCGCCTTCAACCCTGCCATCCAGTTCATGGTTTACGAAGGCCTCAAGAGGCAAGCCGCCTCTGGCAAAATGAAGGTCACTGCATGCAATGATAATAACGACGTGGTAACTGCAAACCAAAAGTGACCTTTTTTGTTGTTTAGCGCATACGTTTTTATTTAAAACCGCGGTTCTACGATGCGTTTTCAGGTCATACCGCGCGTTCGGCGCGGTGTCCGATGTTTCGCTGCACACGCCGAGAGCTTCCTCACGGACCTGAACTGTTGGACATCGTGCCGAACAATGCGCGGTGCGACCCAGAGAGCCGTGCGGCAAAACCGCGAAAAACTACGCAGCAGCGACATTACCCGTTTCACAATGCGCGGTGTCACCTATCGTCACGCTCACACTCGCTGTCCTGCGTGGGTTACGACTGCGGATATTTGCAATGTTGTCTCCGACCTTAAGCTGCCCCTTTGGTTGCAGCTGAATGCAATGGACATCTTCATCATCGGAGCCATCGCCAAGGCGATCGCTACCACCGCAACGTTCCCGCTTCAGACGGTGCAGTCCATACTCCGGGTACGGCAGCTCTGTGGCAAACCCTCTGCACCATGTGGTCATCACGTAGAGCATGACTCGTGTAGACTTGCGTTCAGCTGAGATATAACGTGCGTACATACGCAAAAGGAAAGTCCTCGCTTAGCGCGTGGTGTTCACACGAGAACTCGTTTTGGCTTTAACGTGGTTCTTCCATGAGGGAACACTTTTCACACAACGCGAAACGTGCACCGTTATAACGCAATTTCTGAGTGGTCAACGGCGAACTACTTTCTAGAGTTGCGTGACTTAGCGGTGCGATACAGTAAGCGGAATCATACAGTAACGCGGCAGCGTGCCCTCGGTTATTTGTTCCGCTACCTCATTGCATGCGCGTAGCAGTACATCGTATCTCGCCAAACTTTACCATTACAATGTTAAATTTCGATTTAAAGCTTTCGTGACTGCAGGGATTCATCTTCTTGGTTGCTTGCGTTGTGGCCGAAACGTCGTGAGAATTATTTTATTATGTTTTATTTTTATTATTTTATTACTTCCCTTCTACGTGACTTTACCGAAAGAACCAAGAAGACATTACAATGTTTTTTGGGAAAATCGTTTTCGCTTTGTGCGTTTTTCACTTCACGCGGCATTTTTCAGGAACGCACCTACTACCCCGTTAGACGAAGACTACTGTACGTTAATCCCACCTCCGATGAGCACGGCTGGCTACGTACGGTGCATAAGAAGTTCTACACACATAAATTAAACCACAATTATTTTACACGTTGGGAATAAAAATATCAACGTTTCATCTCACAGCCAGCTGGACTTAAGGAAAACTTCCTGTGTGGAATTCATAACGTGCATTGTGCGGGCTCTTCAAATACCGAGTTGTTTTTTTTACTGAATTACAAAAAATCTGGCCCTTTTTGTCACCTTGCTTGTCGACCCCCATGAGCTTGACAATCCGTGGGAAAGGAACGGGAGTGGAGTTGGGAAAAACCTGACTCTTGAGTAAGAGATGTCGGGCACGATTGAGACTTGACTGACTTGAACGTGCCTGACTTGATGTCTCAGTTTGGACAGTATGAAAGTGGGAGCAGTTCGGGGGTGTTGGGAAGCCTGAAGAACATCCTGCTCCTCATCAGCCAGAGGGTCAGGTGAGGTGTCCACCACACAAAGTGTTCAAAACATGAGTAATCGCAACCATGTAAATACTCGTATGAAGGTGCTTATTCTACAACTGCCTATTGTTTTGTATCTACTAGCTTGCAAAAGCTAGTTTGCAAACAACAACAAAAACTCATTGTATATCGCAATGTCTTTTGCTCCAGTGTCTTAGTCCAATGGTGCAATCCATTTATATGACCGTGTTTGCCTTCCCACAATATAGAAAGCAAGGTGTGGCTGGCCTCTACAAAGGATTGGAAGCCAAGCTTCTGCAAACTGTGCTGACCGCAGCGCTGATGTTTGTCCTTTACGAGAAGATTGCTGCCCTGACCTTCCGCATCATGGGCCTCAATTCACAAGCCACACGCTGACATTCCTTCGACCTGTGCCCTCCTCCTGTCGTCGTCATCATCATCGTCGTCACGCACATCGAGGGAAACAGCAGCAGCATGTTAACTACCTCGCCTGGTATACAGGGTTCGATCTCAACCCTGGCGCCTGCTGTATAACTGGAGTTTGCACGTTCTCCATGTGGTCGTGTGGATTTTCCTCTCCACATTTATAATCAACATCACCCTTTTAGAGTATTTGGCTGCTATACATTTCCATAAGCCACTTCGTTGAGCTGTCATTTGTGGCTAGGATGCGTCTGAAACAGAGCTACGTAGCTCAGTGGGCCTCTAGTTTCAGTAAAATAACGACAAATACATTCCTATTGACTTGTGAATGTTCACAACTTCAGTAGTAGACTCGATTATCCACGTGCGGTTAATCTGATTTGCGGATTAATCGCGCAGCCTGAGATTTTAACAAATTAATAACTCGTGGATTTTCCCTTCCGCCCGTATTAATAATAAAAAAATAGTTATTATTCTTTGAAATGTTTATGACAAGTTAGATGCTTAAACCAAACAAATATGCACTCTGGTTAATCAGAAATCCACGTGATCGCCTCAACAGTACAGTAGTTGCAATATCTTTGCAATGGTGGGCGGAGTTTGATGTTGATTGGCGTGGCGCTGCTGCTGTCCACTTAGTGGGCCGAGTCTTCTGCGCCGGGAGCAGGAAAATGTTGTCACTGCACACTCATCGATCGGTCGATTCTACATTGAAAGAGCAAGCATCAAAATCTGTCAATTGTGCTTCATTTTGAGTGCTTTATCTGATCATTTATTTTGTGAGTTTTAATTTATACCTATATCAGTGGTTTTTTGGCATAGACATCCGCTGCAAATGGTTATGTTTGGATTATCCATGATTTTGAATTATCCGCGTCATTAGCACGGATAATCGAGTCAACCGCACTTAAATATACTTCTAAATCGCTGTTGCTGAGCACAGTTGCCCGAAGGCCCAACACACCAAGTGGCCAGAAACAAAGAGCACTATTGAAGGTATAGATAAAGAGTGAATACATTTGTTGAATTTGCTTAGGTTATAAGAACTTGGGGGGGGGGGGGGGCGGGGAAGACAATGGGTTCGAATTCCAAACTGGATCGGTGCAAAGAACGAATCGAAAACAGAAGTGGTTTCACCGGTGTGCTGGCTGGACAAGGTGTGTTCTCAGCGTGGGTGGAAACAAATCAAGGAGTGAATTTCACGGGAACGCTAACAATGGTACTAGCCATAGAAGACTCACCACCAGTCAAACTAATTGCTTGAAAATAAATCTTAACGGCTTCGATCAACCTGACCCAAACGGTATGATATTGTCCTACATTGATATATAGCAGACTAACATTTATCAAGCTTGGTGAAGGGTTTTTTTGGCGTTGCTGATCTGTAACCTAAAACTGGGAAACTATTACAACAATCTAGATGCTTACACCAGTCTACAGCATAATACTATTTGAACACTGGACATACGTTAGTGTGGATGAATTTGTTAGTAAAAGTTTGAATAGCCTAGCGGTTAGTACATTTGCCTTTGGGCCAGTGTGTACAAAGTTTGGAGTGACGTTCCTTTGCCCTCCTAATCCCTGTGGGGAGTCGTGAAAGCACGCTCGTGCATTAACACATTCCTGCGGAGGGAGCTGGTAGGAACGTTGGGTTGCTCGGTCAATGGCCAAGGTCAACGGCGGCGTGGTGTATTCCGCAAATATGGCCGACTGTGAGGGCGGGCACAAGCCGGCGTGAGTAGGTTAAACGTTTAAGGGCACCAAGGGGTGACCAGCCCTTCCCCACCCAACCCCACCCCACCCAGCCCCATCCTCCCCACCCAGCCCCTTCCCACTCTCCACCCAGCCCCACCCCTCCAATTTTTGGATGCACGACAGACGGACAGAATAATCCCCTGTGGGCTGGTGTAACCTGGAGTATCCTACCAGTACAAAGGGAATTGTCTACAGGTGAAAGTACACTGTGTCCCAGTGTCATAGTCCCAAGTAGATACGGCAACACCAAGTAGGGACCTTTGTCAACATGCTGCTGGCCAATGCAGGTTCGTGAAGTTTAGAGATCTCGCTCGCTGCTACAGAGAGAGAGCTGTGGACATCAATTCAACTCGGGTCGACAGGTTGGGGTCGCAGTTTCGCTAACCGCTGCGCCACCACTCCCACGACAGCCCGAGTTTGCAACTTGAAAAGTATCACGTAATGCAAAATGTATTGGCCCACCAAAGCTCTCTCGACAGAGATAATAAATTAAGAATATCAATAAATACATTAAAATTTAATTGACTCAATTATTCGAAGTGCTACGGCAGGAAAGTAAACTTGGCAAACAGGTCGAGGTGCATTTATAGGGTCATGAATTTTACATTCCATTTCATATTTGTAACATTTTGATTTTGTTGAAATATTAATTGAGCTGCCGTGCCATTTAAACAAGCGTTTGCCGAATAAACAAATTAACAGGTTGCGACTTGATTCTCGTTCATGTCATCCACGCACATGTCGCATTACATATTTGCAGTACTCTACACCAGCAGGCCAGTTCGCACGCCTCATTCATGAAGGGGACATTAAAGACAAAGCCACGGGATGTGTGTGACCTTGCAACACCAACTCTGCACCGTGCAGTCCACAACTGCAGTCAGCGCACCTTCAACAGGAGGAGGTATACTCTTAGGTTTTTCGGTAAAGCCACGTAGATAAAAAATAATAGAAATAAAATAATAAATCACGTTTCGGAGGCAAAACAAGTTTCCGTCATCAGGTGAGACCGTCACAGCTAGATTTACTGTCTCAAGTGAGGCAAAATGCCAAGAGTCAAGCTCTTAAATACAAATATTCTTAGGTTTTTTCGGTAAAGTCACGTAGGTAAAAAATTAAAATTAATAAAAAATAAAATAAAAATCACGACGGTTCGGAGGCAACACAAGCTTCCGTCTTCAGGTGGAACCGTCACAGCACGATAGCTGTATCAAGTAAGAGAAATTACAAGAAAACAGTCCTCTATATATACTGGTTGAGGGTGGGAGTAGCCAAGGTAGGCCCTGGATATTATTATTGTGAGGTTCGGTGCGGCTGAAGCACGCTGTTAGGAATGAGCCTTTGTTGTGTAGACTGGTTGAACTCGGAGGTTCCAAGAGTTGTTAAGGTGCGGCTGATGTAAAGGTGTAAACGGGACTGAGCCTTTTGTTATGTAGAGGTGGTGCGGCTGAAACCGCTGCCAGGAATGAGTCTTTGTTGTGTAGACTGGTTGGACTGGGAGGTTCCAAGAGTTGTTCAGGTGCGGCTGATGTAAAGGTGCGGCAGCTGTGAATGGGACTGAGCCTTTGTTATGTAGATGAAACAGCACTTTTGCTACGTTGCTGGGATTAATTCTAGATTTGCCAAATATGTGTGATACAACTTAAATACAAGTTTAAGGGGGGGAAGGGAAGGGGGAGGGGCTTATCTGAATGTGGAAGCCAATGAGTGGAACGTGTTGGGAGGGTGGGCGGGGCTAAGAGAACAGTTTGTGCATCTTGTTCTTAGGTTTTTTCGGTCAAGTCACGTAGGTAAAACATCAAAATTAATAAAAAATATCTTGTTGATGTTTTACCCGCTGTTGGTCTAGAAAGAAATCTAGAAAGGAGGAGGATTATCTAAATGTGACCATCTCGTGAAGCCCTCTCGCCGTGGCTAGCAGACACATCGGCACGGAGCTCCTCCTGAACGTCGCATTGATGTTTGCCATTCTGCGAAAGAACAAGACGACCGTGCCTTGTGGCTGTACGAGGTCGACTACCTCGCCTAGTGCACAGGAGGTCGTGGGTTCGAGCTCGACCCTGACGTTGCCTGCTGCTGCTGCTCTTTGGAGTTTTCGTGTCTCTCTCTCTCCCCGTTGTGCTCGCGTGGATTTTGTTGTTTTTGGGTTTCCCCGCCACATCCACCAATCCACGCGTTCACACGATGTGGCTGCCGCTATCCGTGTCCAGGCGACAAGCCGCGGGTCCCTTCCTCCTGCAGCGGAGCTCAGTGGGGCCTGAGGCACCGACACGGGCACCAGTTGACGGGGTGAGGGTCAGGCGCGTGACGTCACAGGCCCCGTGCGGGTACATGACGTCACCAGGACCGTGAGGGGGGAGTGGCGTCATCTTCTCCGCCAGGCTGCGTGACGTCACTAGCTCTGTGAGGGTGCGTGACGTCACAGGTTCCGTGCGTGTACTTGACGTCACCAGCACCGTGAGGGGAGAGTGGCGTCATCTTCACCGCCAGGCTGCGTGACGTCACTAGCTCTGTGAGGGTGCGTGACGTCACCAGCTGTGTAGGAGTGCGTGACGTCACCTGCTCCTTGTGGTGGGAAGTGTCGTTCTAGATTTGAAGCTTTCGTGACTGCAAGGAGTCATACTCGTGGGGTTTTTCGGTAAAGTCACGTTTTCTTTGAGGGTACGTGACGTCATCTGCTCCGTGAGGGCGGGGGGAAGTGACGTCGTCGGCTTCGTATTTAACGGAAGTGACGTCGCGTAACCCTTCAGGTCGCGGCCTGGCGGGAGAGCTGAGGGTGACGCCGCTGCCATTGGATGTTTGTTTGCTGAGGTGGGAGCCGCTGCGCCTGTTTACTCGTCTCCTGTTGCGCGTGTGTGTATGCGTGTGTGTTTTTTTGGGAGGTAATCGCCATGCTTAGCGTACAGTAGCGGCTGTCGAGAGCCCCGCAGAGGATTTGTGGCTGCGTGTTTTGGAGGTGGTTCAACAATCACCTTCATCACGGCCTAAACATCGACGTCGTCAGCATCGTCGTCAGCATCGCCAGTGCCAGCGAGCTGCAGCATCACCCGCTTCAGCTGTCACAATCATCAGCAGTAGCGCCGTGAGAAATCGCCATCAGCAACACTATCAGCAGTGCTACACACAGCAGCGTGACCATCACCAGTGGCAGATCATCTTCAACACCAGCAGTCGTAGCACCGTACTTAATAAAACACAATTGTCATCGCTGTTCTTCTGTACACAAGTGTAAACTATAATCAGCAGCATCGGTAGTGTATCATCATTGTCGTCGTCGTCTTCACAGCAGCGTGTCGCCGTCATCGCCATCAGCACCACCACCCCGGCAGGGAACAGTCGCCGCCATGAACGTGTCCAAGGCCGACTGCATGCTCTTCTCGGCCAACTCGAACCCCGCCTGCGTGGAGCTGGCCCGCAAGATAGCCGAGTGAGTAGGCACCCTCCCCGAGTGGCACTCACCTCCAGCCCTCACCACCAGCCCTCACTCACCACCAGCCCTCACTCACCACCAGCCCTCACTCACCACCAGCCCTCACTCACCACCAGCCCTCACTCACCACCAGCCCTCATTCACCACCAGCGCTCACTCACCACCAGCCCTCACTCACCAGCCCTCACTCACCACCAGCCCTCACTCACCACCAGCCCTCACTCACCACCAGCCCTCACTCACCACCAGCCCTCACTCACCACCAACCCTCACTCACCACCAGCCCTCACTCACCACCAGCACTCACTCACCACCAGCCCTCACTCACCACCAGCCCTCACTCACTCACCAACCCTCACCACCAGCCCTCACTCACCACCAACTCTCACTCACCACCAGCACTCACTCACCACCAGCCCTCACTCACCACCAGCCCTCACTCACCACCAGCCCTCACTCACTCACCAACCCTCACCACCAGCCCTCACTCACCACCAACTCTCACTCACCACCAGCACTCACTCACCACCAGCCCTCACTAAACCACCAGCCCTCACTCACCACCAGCCCTCACTCACCACCAGCCCTCATTCACCACCAGCCCTCACTCACCAACAGCCCTCACTCACCACCAGCCCTCACTCACTCACCAACCCTCACTCACCACCAGCTCTCACTCACCACCAGCCCTCACTCACCACCAACCCTCACTCACCACCAGCCCTCACTCACCACCAACCCTCACTCACCACCAGCCCTCACTCACCACCAACCCTCACTCACCACCAGCCCTCACTCACCACCACCCTCACTCACCACCAGCCCTCACTCACCACCAGCCCTCATCACCACCAGCCCTCATTCACCACCAGCGCTCACTCACCACCAGCCCTCACTCACCACCAGCCCTCACTCACCACCAACCCTCACTCACCACCAGCCCTCACTCACCACCAACCCTCACTCACCACCAGCCCTCACTCACCACCAGCCCTCACTCACCACCAGCCCTCACTCACCACCAACCCTCACTCACCACCAACCCTCACTCACCACCAGCCCTCACTCACCACCAGCCCTCACTCCTCACTCACCACCAGCCCTCACTCACCACCAGCCCTCACTCACCACCAACCCTCACTCACCACCAGCCCTCACTCACCACCAACCCTCACTCACCACCAGCCCTCACTCACCACCAGCTCTCACTCACCACCAACCCTCACTCACCACCAGCCCTCACTCACCACCAACCCTCACTCACCACCAGCCCTCACTCACCACCAACCCTCACTCACCACCAGCCCTCACTCACCACCAGCCCTCACTCACCACCAACCCTCACTCACCACCAGCCCTCACTCACCACCAACCCTCACTCACCACCAGCCCTCACTCACCACCAGCTCTCACTCACCACCAACCCTCACTCACCACCAGCTCTCACTCACCACCAGCCCTCACTCACCACCAACCCTCACTCACCACCAGCCCTCACTCACCACCAGCCCTCACTCACCACCAGCTCTCACTCACCACCAGCCCTCACTCGCCACCAGCCCTCACTCACCACCAGCTCTCACTCACCACCAACCCTCACGCACCACCAGCCCTCATTCACCACCAGCCCTCACTCACCACCAGCCCTCACTCACCACCAGCCCTCACTCACCACCAGCCCTCACTCACCACCAGCTCTCACTCACCACCAACCCTCACGCACCACCAACCCGCACCCGCCACCTGGTGAGGTTTGGTCCAAACAACAACCCAGTGTCCGACACGGTATGGTAAGCCATTAGTGGATTGACAAAAGGCTGTGCATTTTTCAATGTAATTCAGTGGGTGGTCGGAGATGAGAGTTGTTGATTGTAGTGGCGATACAGGGCGAGCGCGTGAGTGGTGGACGTGCGGGTGAGACCAAAAGGGATGAATGGAGTCGTGGATCTGCTACATTGGCAGTGTCGGTGTTGCTGGAGGTGGAAGAGGAGGTACTGTATAGTGTATTCCCAAGCAGCGTCTGTTTGGCCGGATTGAGGGGGTTAGACGGGCAAGACACGGGCTGGAGAAGAGGGATTGGGAGGATGTGCTGAGCGGACTTGCCAATGACTGGTATCAGCGGTGTTAAGACTGACCTTTATGGAGGAGGATCATGAAGGACGCTACTGGGCCACAGTTGGAGGCAGTCGCCCTCCAACAACAACGGAGAGCAGAGGAGCGACGCTCACAACAACGAGCGGTGGGCCAGGCGGTTAAAGTGCAGCAAGTATGCACAGTCGGAGGCACATCTTGCCAATCATCTCGGTCAACCCATAGCACCTGGGTCTGTCTCGTGACCTGTCAGCGAGCGCCGTGGTAACGTCACCGTCACATCGTGGCGAATGGCGGGTATTGGTATTGGAGGTGCCGTAGTGTAGTGGTGAGACTGTAGCTGGAAGTGTAGAGGATTAGGTGCACGCATTGAGGAGGTTGGCAGAGACGAAGGAGAAAGACGAGAAGACCGTGAGTGGTAGTTAACGTAGAAGAAGTCTATTTCAAATTAGGTGGCGGGGGGGTGGAGTTCAAGGGAGATGCCAGGAGGAGGTATAGTGAAAGAGACTGGGGGATTGATGGAGGAGATATATTGCGGTGAAACTGATGTTGAGGGGGGGGGTGTTGATAAAGTAGTGGTGAGACTGGGTGATTGGTGGAGCAAGGGAGAGTGGTGGTGAGGCATTGGGAGTTGGAGGAGCATGGGAGGAGTGGTGAGATTGGGCTTGGAGGAGAATGGAAGTGTGGCACTTTCACGTTTCCCCCCCCACCATCAGCAAATCGTACTGGCCACGACCCGCAAGGTGTATGTATGCATGTTCATTGAACTTCTTTCACACCACACGTGGCCAACCGTGCTAATCGGAGGTGCCGGGGGGAAGCTTTCCATCGAGCAGTTGGATTTCCATCTACACGATAAATAAAAAGCCCGAGGGATCTACAAGGGTGGGTAATTCGGAAATGTTCCTTTGTGAATGAAGAGCTGTGGCCCACAGCGCCACTGGGCTAAAAGGTATTCGTGTGGAAAATAACGCCTGCTTCACTGGGGAGGCAGCCTTTGCCTGGGGTCGTTAACTCTTGTTTATTTATGGAAGGAGTGTCCGATTCTTTGGAAACACGTGATTGGAGTTTTATGGCAGACTAACTCGTGACCGAGACAGGCCTGCCTCGATGCATCCAGTTGTGAAGTTTTGTTATTTAATCGATGGAACGGGTTCCCAGAGCTCTCCTAGATTGAAGTGCTTAGCTCCTGCCAGAGTGGTAAAGCCACCGACTGTGATTTGTAGAAACACAAAGTTCAGCTAGGTCGACATCACCTGCTTTTTGAGAAAAGCATCTGTGACTAAATAAAATCAACAACGAGTGACTTTGCTGAAATAAAAAATGCACTAGTCTAGAACAAATATTTTGGAGTTTGAGATTCATGGGGACTGTATGTACATAAGCAGCACGAGATAGGGGTTATCACACGAATTCTCCATCCAAACTCTTCATTGAAATTCCGAGTTATGAATGTAATGATTAAAAATAAATGGCCACTGCTATTGACTCTCCTTGTCTGATATATGTCGGTTATTACAAAGTTTGTGCAAAATGTTGAAGAGAATAAATGTGTTTTTGTGTACTTTAATTTCAGGCGTCTGAGCACTGATCTGGGAAAAGCTCAGGTCTACCAGGAGCCAAACAGAGGTGGTGATGCCATGCCATTCATTATACCGCCCGCATTCATATAATGTTCAGGTTTTTTTTATGTAAAGGTGTTTTTCGTATAATCATCTTTTGTAATGCATTGCCATCCTTAATGCTGTTGTGTTACAGAGACGAGAGTGCACATCCAGCAGTCCGTGCGAGGAAAGGATGTGTTCATTATTCAGACGTGCCCAAGGTAACGAGTATATTTAGATATTGATTATATAACCTAGCCCGCAAGGCAATCAGAACCTTTGTGCATTGCGAGATTTTTTTATTTGACCTTATACATTTTTTCCATGACAAATAGTATGTTTTTGGTTGTGTGTTCTGTTAATAGAACTCACTGCTGCTTCGTAAATGTTCATGACGATGGTAATTTTTTTACCATTTAACTGGAATATAATGATAGGTTTGTGAGTGGTATATTTTAAGAAAACGCTTTAACGCTCTTTCATTGTTTATGTAGATGTTTTGGCACCTCTTTTCTGTTTTGTTATCCCAAGGGATGTGAACACAGCGGTGATGGAGTTGCTGATCATGACGTATGCGTGCAAGACGTCGGCAGCGCGCAACATTATTGGCGTAGTGCCCTACTTCCCTTACAGCAAGCATTCCAAAATGCGCAAACGCGGCTCCATAGTCTGCAAGCTGCTCGCATCCATGCTGTGCAAAGCAGGTTAGAGCTGGAGAATAATTGACTGATCAAAGCTACACTTGGCACAACCACCAATTATCGTGCAATTATTGTTCTACATAGCACAATTATTATTGTGCTTTTACTTGATGACTTATTTTGCAATTAAAGCCACATTTCGTTCCAGGCATGACACATCTGATCACAATGGACTTGCACCAGAAGGAGATACAAGGCTTCTTTAACATCCCAGTGGATAACCTGAGGGCATCACCTTTTCTGATTCAGTACATACAGGATGAGGTACGACCAACGGCTCTTTAATTGCAACTATGCTGCAGCATTAATTATAACCTTTGCAACCAGGTAGCAGCTCCTTGAAATGAGAAATATAGCTTTCAAGTTTAAATAAAAAAAATGCGTGGAAAGTCACTTGAAAACATATACACAGTTAAGAATAATATACAACTAATCTTCAGATATACAGAACATGATGAAGTAACATTTTTGAATGTATTATTTGTACTAATTTTGTTGTATCAATTACTCATGCCTGTTGTAGATTCCAGACTACAGAAATGCTGTTATTGTGGCAAAGTCGCCTTCTTCTGCCAAAAGGTCAGCTGCCTTTTTGCGATGCTTTCAGACTCTGCTCCTAGTGATTGTGCTCGTACAGATAACTTGTGTTATTAGTGGTGAGATTTATCAGGGTTGAAGATTAGCAATACATAACATATCTCGATGTCTGCTGGTTTAATTATGAGCTCATTGAGATTCATTGACCGATGCACACATGACTCCAAATGTGTTGGCAAATTAACCAATTACCTTGAGACGCAAGAAAAACAGACTAGTCATTGCGGGGAAATATGGTCAAACAACTGGCAACTTTTAAGGTGTGGAGAGGCCTTCATCCAGCAGTGGATTTATAGAGGGCTGTCCATGATAATTGTCAAACAAATAATATTCTAATATCCTCATTTACATACATGCAAGTTTACTAAATCCCCCCACCTCTGCGTGTGTGATCGACACGTCGTAGTTTTTATTTTTTTACTTTTATTTTTTACTTTTATTTTTTCTATCTACGTGACTTTACAGAAAGATCCAAAGAATATGCATCTTTGCATTTTTCAGAATCCGCTACAAAGCTCTTTCACAGATGTCCAGTAGGGGTGGGTAAGAACATTACAACAACAATACAAAAACGTGAAGGGAGTGAAAAGTACAATAATGGTAAACAATCACCCAAGCACTTACAAATTAAACTAAACCGTCCCCATCCTACCAGGCCAAAGTCCAATGAGGTATTTACTTATTTTTCAGAAGCGACCTGGCCACAAACGATTACTCATCAAAAGCAGAATCATTTGGGCATTTAATAATCTAAACAATCTCAGAAGCATGTGAAGTTGAAGTACCGGTGAAGACGCTTGACGCCGAGGTTGAGGCACACGTATATTTATTTCACAATACGACAGTGGGCATATACACACTCGAGGGGGTATCGGCCCCCTCACCCGTATAACTCGGGATACACCCCTAGCTAACTCTGTCCTAGCCCCGAATCCTCCACTAATGGGCTAGGGGAGGCTAACTGGCCCGACACTGGTAAGTCGGGCCCGGTACCCGGAGTTCCAGACCAGCTCTTACAAGAGCACCGGCTCTGGCTTTCGGGACCACGCCGCTGGCTCAGTCCTGTCCGGCCCTGAAAAGGACATCGAACTAGGGGAGTCCAGGGCTCTATCTAAGACGTCTTCAGTCTTCTTCCCTTAGCTTAAACATAACTGACTCGAGCCCTTTGAACATCCCCTTTTATACCCAACCCCTCCCTGAGGGGTGGGGCCCCGGGGGATCATAACGTTCGAACCAGCCCCCCCCAGGGTGTCTGGCTCGGACGTCGTAGAGGGCACCTCCTCGTGCACTTACGTAGCCCCGCCCACTGTGTTTGTTTTCCATAGGCTGCCATGCATAACGGGCCCTCTCTTTAACACCCCTACACATGTTTTATAAATCTGGAGGGGAAAAAACCAGAGGACCCGGATAATCAAGAGCTGCCTGTCCCACGCACATCAACTTGGGGTAGGCAGTGCGTGTTGGGGCGGATGTTTAAACGTCCGTGTGTGTACCTGGCGAGACAGGGCTCAGTCGTTTGCAGAGCGGCTGCGTCTCGCCATGGCCGTGATCCACGGGGAGGCGCAGGATGCCGAGTCAGACATGGACGACGGGCGGCACTCGCCACCGCCCATTGTCATGAAGAACTCGAGCTCTGCCATCCACCCCGTCTTGGAGCTTCCGCGTAAGGCACTTGCAACGCAGTGGCGGCGGCGGCGGCGGCGAGCGAACGCCGGCTGCTAACGAACACTGCTAATGGAGAAGGAGGAGGCGCGCGTGCGTGTGTGTTCATTTGCATTTTTTTAATTTCTAACATGCAACCGTTTTAAAAAATGATGTGCCATTAACGATAACAGTTTTGTTGCTGACTTTCCTTTCGAGTAAGGTGGGATTGTTGCAAGTAAAACTCCGGAGTGTTCGACAGTTTTAAAACAAATGTAAAAGCCTACAACTTCGTGCGTCCATCTCGAAGGAAGGACATCTACTCACATTTTTGCTGTGTCCGTATGTCAGGAAAACCGTCAAGTTCATACCCAGGACTAGAGCTGCCAAGTACGCCCATTTGTTTGCCTGCCCCGCATTCATTGAAGCCTTTTTGTTGCACCGAGATCAACACATGGAGAAAACGCTGATACTGTTACAATGGGCTCTTTTATTTTTTCCTATCTTCCAGAGATTTGAATTGATTTATTGGTGAAAAGGTGTGGGGGAAAAAACTGTGTGTGGCATGTAGAGTTTGCTATACTTGCATTGTGGTGGTGGTTTACGACTGGTTACCATTTACATCATTCAAATAATTGCCATTCCTTTAAATCATTTGGACCCTTAATTTTCTTCCTGCATGGCTTGCAATTGGACGTTTTGCAAACAAATCTGAGCTTGAATTGCATATATTGTAAGAGAGTTTTGCCTCATTCAGAAATTATGAATGTCTTTCTGCAAATCAAAATTAAATATACAATATAAAAGCAAAGGGCAGTTGTCAAAACCCACACATTTCATTGTTGCAGACAACATTTTAGAATGCGCTCATTGTCAGACCTGTCTCATGCTGGCTGAACTAGACATGAAACAATTCAGTACACTTTAAGTAAAGTATTTGATTTTTGGTAATGTTAAACTTTACAGTTTTTTTTTTTAACTGGAAGAATTAAATATAACATTTTTAATGTGGTTCAACACAAGGCATATGTTACATTATTGTTGAATCCTTTTTATTTTTGGAAATCTGGTTTAATCCTGAAAGCATGCTCATTTGCACTTACCGTCCCCACAAAATTCCATTCAGGATTTCGGTACCGAGTGCATGTACAGCTCGCAGCAAATGCGCGATGAATTGAGCTAGTTTCCATGCACCTTGAACGTTCGCATTCTGTAGAACCTGAGTTCCATTATCCATGATGACATAGTGCAGGTTTTGCCAACGCCTTGCCTGTGTGTTCCATGATTATTGGTCGACTGGGTAAGCATGGCGCAAACTTTCTCCAAAGTGTGAGTGCTCCGTTCCAATGCCACATAGGGGTGGGGCCATGTGCAAAGACACCTGACTGTCCGTAAGAGAAAAACACTTTAATTGGCATAATCCTAACTCAATTCAAGTATGTTACGGTTATTATTAACCAAATTTACAAAAAATGTAGCGTTCTTTGCTCTTGTGTTATTTGTATAAAATTAGAGGCAGATTAATAGTTAAATTAAAAAAGTAGGTTTATTTGTACACATCCCAGTTAATTTAATGTCAGCACAATGGACCCACTCCTGTACTGGATGTGATCTCTCACAATGCAGAAACTGCACTGCTTACCTGGTGTAATGATTTAATATAAGTTAAAATGGTTGCCAGTACCTTTTTCCATGTCTCTTGGATGCCACAGTTATTGTGATAGTTGCATGGAGCTTGTAGACACCCACTGGGGCTGCTGTCCAAAGTCCTGCGTTAATGCCATCTGCCCAATACATTTACCGCAGTAATGATGCCCAAGGAGAAGCCACCCATTACGGTTGTGGGAGATGTTGGTGGAAGAATTGCAATTATTGTGGTAAGTGCCATGCAGTGAACGTTTAACAAACCTGCGTATAAATTTTGATTTAAAGCTTTCGTGACTGCAGGGATTCATATTCTTGGTTCTTTCCATGAAGTCACCTGATGATGATTGCTTGTGTTGCAGTCGAAACATCGTGAGAATTTTTATTGTTTTATTTTATTATTTCCCTTCTACGTGACTTTACCGAAAGAACCAAGAATATAAACCTGCGTATGTCATTGTTCGCACGTGCATTGAATACTTACAGGGATACACGAATGCAGTTGCGGCCCGATGCTTTCCCGTGTTTTCTAAACACTTAGACATTAAGCAAGTTTCAGTTTGTGTAGTTGCCTTCAACACTACCTGCTCGAATGTCATTCAGCTTTTGGTCAACTTTGTAGTTGAAGCAATGAAGGCAATATGTTGTATTGTTTTGCGCCACCTGAACAGAACTTTCTGTACTGCATATTCCATGTAATTTGTTTTACTTTTACTCCCAGCAAAGTAATGCAGCTGCATTCCATCTCACTATTTTGGCAGGACGACATAATTGATGATGTGCACAGCTTCGTGATGGCTGCCGAGACCCTGAAGGAACGGGGTGCCTACAAGATCTACGTAATGGCCACTCACGGCCTGCTCTCGTCGGACGCTCCTCGGCTCATTGAAGAATCTCCCATTCACGAGGTCCTCACTGCATGCAGGCTGCACTTGGCGGGGCGGCGGGTAGTTCGCAGCCGGCCCAAGTTGAACCAAACTGCTGTTACTTAACCGGCAACTTTAAATCCGTTCATGGTCTTACCCCACCATATCTTTCCACTCTTGTATCCTATGTTCTTTCTCGCCCTTTACGCCCTCCTCACTCTTTGCTGTCTCTCTCTGTTCCTCCTCCTCCTTGTGCTCAATCTACACTGTCTCTCTCTCCTCGCCCCCCTTCACTGGAACAAATTTCACCCCCCCTCACTAGTTTCCGCTCCTCACTCAAAACTCGCTTATTTTCCCATGCTCACCCCACGACCCCCCTTAATCTCCCTCTCATAACCACCATCGGTACTGTTCCCTCTTCATATTCTCATTCAATCATTAACCCCATTCATTCAATCCCTTCGTCATCATTTACTGTCGTGAATTTCGCTTTCACGGAATTCACGCATCACAGATTTGCCCCGATTGCTTCCTCTCATCTATTTCATTCGCCTAATCCCCATTACATTCGTACATACCGTTGTTAATTCTTCGTAAAGCGCCTTAGTGAAGGAGCTGTATAAATTATGTTCAGATAAGATAAGAGCCACTGCTGCGTGAAAGCCTTGCAATTCGGTCACACAGCGCTTCAAGCCTGAAGCAGCTGCTGCCAGTGTGCAGGAAGTGACAAAGAGGAATAAAGCCATGCTGATGATCTCAAATGAATTTACTTAGCATGATAATTATTTGGGATATGTGGAATTTTAACCCTTGTTTGTGGTAATAGCTATTGTATGTCTGTTTTTTCATTTCCCCCATGTGAGGAAAAAGGTACTCGAAATGCTTGTGTGCAGTGCCACCGAACTTTGTAATTCAAAGCCAACACTTTATGTAATTGATGATAAAATACACTGCAAAATATCAACAGAATGCGTATAGTCGAGAAACAGATTTAACAATACACCTTCGATCATCACGGTTGGCTACGTATGGTACGAACAAAGTTCAATATCCACAAATATGTGCTCACAAACAGCAGGAAGGCATAACTCCCATCATGTCTTGCATGCATGTCATGTGACCACAACACCCTCGACTTTGTCTAGACCACCAGCTATACAGCTGAATATGCGGCCGTATTATTGCTTAGGTAACAAACTCAAAGAGTTGAAACATGGCCATCTCACCAGACTGTGAGCACACGCTTGTGTGTTGGTAACTCCACGTAGTAACTTTGTAGCGTATGTGTGTGCATTGCTTTATACTCAAGAGGTTGATGCTAATGGAATGTGTTAATGCACAGGTGGTGGTGACCAACACCATCCCACACGAGGTGCAAAAGCTGCAGTGCCACAAGATCAAAACGGTGGATATCAGCATGATCGTGTCCGAGGCCATCCGTCGCATCCACAACGGCGAGTCCATGTCCTACCTCTTCCGCAACATTGGCGTCGATGACTAGGCGCACCGCGGTGGAGCGACCTGCTGGGCCTCTATCCACCTGCCTTGAATGCTTGCAATGTCATTGAAGTTGCATCCATGCCCTCTGGGAGATGGCTGAATGGGTGATCATTTCTTTGGTTTGTGCTTGGTGGTCCCCGACTCAAGTGTGCGCTATTTTCCAAGGTTCTTCCTTTTATTTTCTAGTTTCCAGCATTCTTTTGCTGCCTTGATTTGTAAACCCATGCTGTAGGTTCCATGTGTGCACAGCATTTAATGCTGCTTTTCACGTTTTGGCAGATCAATCACCACAGTTCTCTCCTTCTTCCGGATTGGGACAGCAGGGCATACACTAAACCCTGGGAGCATCTTGTTCACCACAGCTTAGCAGTCTTGAGAACACTTCATGTCCAATACACCTGCTACAACTTAAAAGTTGCTTGTCTTGTATTTAGAAGTGGAGCTTTTATCTGTGATTATCTGGTGGACCATAAAGGCTGGCAGGGTGCACTTATTGTATGCCATTACATTTTTGCCATGGGAATATTAAATGAGATAATAATGTACTCAACAGAAATGGCCTACTAGTTTGTCACAGACGTTTTTAGTTTTAAAGTGGAGATTCTGAATGCTGTGTAGTTTTGACATGAAGATAAATGAACAAAACCGTGTTTTACAACTCAGCACTTGTGGGCATTATAAGGGAAAGTTTGATACAAAATTACGAATTCCTTACCTTATTGCAATTGTGTTCACATGGTAACATTTACGCTGGATAACATTCTTGTTGTAATGTGTGAAGGATATCCACATTCCTGCCCCTTCTCTTTTACAGTTGAAATAATTTTTCCACTTATCATATATGAACTGTAGGTGTCATTGCTTTTTCATGATTAAATATGTACAAAGCTCAGCATCACGTAGTATTGTTTCTTTTGTTAATTGAAATGTATGCAACAAGCATGTGAAAGTGTCTGATGTGATGTCAATAAAACATTTCCCCAAACACTCCTGTGTATTTCCTCTTGAGATTTGTTCGTTGAACAATATTGGAACTGCGTAATCTGCAAATGTTGGCTTAAACGTTGGGAGCCAGTTTATCCGAGTTGCCTGTCTTGGACTGCTTTCTCGATCCAATCCCCATCATCCTCTCTGATCGTGCATTTTTCATTTTGCATAAGCCCATTTAAATTGTCGATCATCGGCACCTTCCTATCTACACTGCGGGGTCTTTTTCGTCCCATGGGCCAGGTCAAATTTTGGTAGCACATCTTAAGGAAGCAATCCACCTTTTCATTGAGCTATCATTTGTGGCCAGGTCGCTTCTGAAAAAGAGCAACATAGCTCAGTGGGCCTTACCTGGTAAAATAGATAAATTACCTTAAAGTGAAAATCTTGAACCGCCCTGTGTCATGGTTTTTTCTGCAATCATTTCGAAACGTTCAATGGACTTAATCAAATTAACGTTTTCTCTGCCCACCGTGACCTGGCACGCCACGATGCTGGGTTTCGTTGAGCCAGAGAGCCCAGAATCTCATCGCTCTCGAAACCCAACCCTGACCTCTCGACCCCTGGCCACGTGGGTTGGGTGGCAGGAAGGCCGTCTCGTTTTGTGCGGGGCGCTACTGTAGTGAGGGGAAAATAAACGATAGGGCGTCGGCTGTCAAGTATGTATTTAATTAATGCAAGTAGTAATACGGAAATAATGATAACGTGTTTTAAATTAAATCCGCGTCAAACTGGGCACTGCTGAGAAATGCGCTTCCCAACACGTTTTACTGCGGCGTAACGATACAGAAGCACCCGTCAAACACAAACCCAACCTCGACTAGATGAACGACAACAACGCAACGAGCACTTAATAAACGTCCAACATTTACATGATATATATAATGCGCACAAATCATCAAGTTGAGTTTAAAAAAAAAATCCCGATGCAAATGCGCGGCACTACTTTCACCCCCCCCCCCCCACTACTCGGCGGAGCGCGACGTGGTGAGGGAGGGAGTGAGACGGCCGTTGCTAAGCGACGGAGGAAGCGCGTCCCGGGCCATGGAGGCTCCGTCTGGAGCAGCCGCAGCAGCAGCCGCCGCCGGCTCCACTCGCCTCTCTTCCTCATTCTCTCGCCTCTCTCTCCACTCGTCTCTCTCGCCTCTCTCGCCTCATCCTCTCGCCTCTCTCACCTCCTCCTCTCTCGCCTCATCCTCTCTCCACCGCCTAGACAATAGCGAACTACTCAAGCAATTGGCCGCCGCTCCGTTGGCGTCTTGAGTGCCCGACCAAAGGGACCTGACTAATTGAGTTGAGCAAGGCAGTGATTCATTAAAGAGAGAGAGAGTGCGAGAGAGATCGGCTGACAGAGCGACTCTCTGACTGAGCAAGGCAGTGATTCATTAAAGAGAGTGCGAGATCGGCTGACAGAGCGACTCTCTGACTGAAGAAAGCCAGACTCACAGACTGACACAGCCAGCCAGAGGACAGCCAGAGGGGACCCATGGCTTCCACTGTGAGCCTGGCTGAGCTCGCCGATCTGGCCGTGGGCTCCCCCCAGGCGGGATGCGTCGACTTCACTGCCCTCCACCGCCTGCTGCGAGCCCTGCTGGCCCAGCTGCAGCTGCAGGAGGTGCGGGTGGTGGGCGGCCCAACGCAGCAGCAGCAGCGGGAGGAGGAGAACCCCGCAGGTCCGACTCCACTCCCAGCACATCCCAGCAGGCCGCCCACGGCGGGCAAGAGCCCCGCAGGGCTGGAGGAGAGAGTCCACGGGCTGGAGAGGCGACTCGGCGTGTTGGACGCGCTGCCTGACCTCCCCGAGCTGCTGGATGGGTCCAAGCGAGGAGGAGGAGGTGGTGGAGGTGGTGGTGGCATTGGCGGTGGTGGCATTGGCGGTGGTGGCATTGGCGGTGGAGGCGGGCGTCCAGGGCCCGTGAGGGACATGTGGCAGCTGCTGCAGATCAACAAGCGTCTGGAGGCGAACGAGACGGCTGTGAGCAAGGTGAGAGGTGAATTCTGACCGTGCAGGTTGCAGCGGTCGTGCTGCTGTGTTAGAGCCCCGGTGCGTTTTCGTGTTGTCACTGCGGTGTTGTTCTTCGCGGGCACGGTGTCCGACGTTTCGCTCCACGTGCCGTGCGCTTCTGAACGCGAGGGCTGACAGGGTATGGGATCCCTGCGTGGGGCCGAACTGATGGAGGGTGGTGCGCTGGACCTTGCTGTAGTTGGGTAGTGTATGTAATGACACCACTCGTGTTGGGCAAGATGTACACCATCACAGCCAGTGCTGCAGATGCCTTGCCCCGCCTCTCCCGTTGGCGAGACTGCCTTAGGCAGGGTTGGTGGAGACAAGATGTGATATGCAAGGTGCTTTGAGATGATGAGGCATGTGCCACTGCAAATCCTTGTCCTTACCTTGATGACCAACCTTTCCAGGTGTGCTGGGTCTCGCCGTGGGACGTTGATGACCATTTGTCTTTTAACACTGGTCGTTTCGAACAAGATGATTCCTTGCAAAATGTTTCTATTTGGTGTATGACATCTTGACACCTGCTTTATTGCCAGAAAGGGTAAAATCTATTCTTACATGTGTGTTGTTTATTGGGTTGGACTATAATCAACTCTGGGCACAGTATCGTTATTTGAAACCCAGTTCAGTCGGCTTTTGGATGATGCTGATAGCTTCTTCTAGATCGTTATGGAATTATAATTCAATAAAGAAGACAATCTGCTTTAATGCTCCAATGTGAGGAGACATTGTTTGATGACCGACGTCTTCCGGTGAATGTCTCCTAACTTGAAATGTGATCATATGTTTTAGAGATTAAAGTTGTATTGTATACAGCTACCAGTCACAGCCCTGCCCGTAACATCAATCCGGTTCAGCTGCTGAGACAGTTTTAAATTACACATTAAGGCAAGACCAGATCTCTAATAGTCTGCCAATAAGTGGCCGAGCTGGAATAGGGTTAAGATGTTGTCCATGCAGGCGCTAACCTAAAGGTGTGGAGAGAAATCGACATCCGCAAGTGGCACCAGTTACTTTATATCAGAGAGGACCCAAGTAAAGCATTCGCCTGTCTGCTTTTTCTTGTAATTTTAAACCACTGCTAATATTAGATATAAGGCAATTGATTATATGGTTCTACGGTGGCTGGGACCTTTGGTAATTCCAAGACTGAATCGGTCCAGAGAATTCAGATTGAGAGGTGGCTGAAATCAAAGCAACCTGGATTGAATATCAGTGGTAAAGTTCATGGTAAACTTATATCTTTCGCTGTTATCCAAGGGCTAAGATCCTTTCCAGGGAAAGAGAATGCCACCGCATTAGTCGCAGTGCTGAGCTTCATTGATGCAATTGAGTTGGGGGTGGTTGTGGACCGGCTGTAGCTGCCTGAGCCACGGCACCAGGTATGGTCACCATGACAAATGTAAATCCTACCACTCATTGTATATTTATTGATACTAAAGTAACTGCTTTGTAGCTACCACGAACCACTTCCCTTACTGTATCCCCAAATCAGTATTGTTAAACTAACAAAATAGTTAAATGTGTCACTTGCTTCGATTTAAAGCTTTCGTGACTGCAGGGATTCATATTCTTGGTTCTTTCGGTAAAGTCACGTAGAAGGGAAATAAAAATAAAACAATAAAATTCTCACGACGTTTCGATTGCAACACAAGCAATCATCATTAGGTGTGAAAACCACAGCAAGAATTTTTTTGAAAAAAGTAGCAGTTTTTATTATTTTTTTATTTCCCTTCTACGTGACTTCACCGAAAAAACCAAGATCACTTGTTGTTTGGTGATAACGACTGTGATTCAACAAACAACTTTGAAATTTGTGTTTTCTGGCTTATACTGCCAGTAGATAACAGAATAATTATTCTTACCTATATATTTTTGTATGATTGACAGCAGTAAGATGCTTTTATTCAGCTTCTGTTGGTCAATGATTGGAACCATAAACAATTCTTGGTAAGAGCCATAGAATGTAGTCCTCTGCGTACTTCACCAGGAGTGCACTCTTCACGCTAAAGAGCATGTCATTCACAAGGGGGTCACGGGGTTCACGTGCCACCCGATGTATAAAGGGTGCCTGTCACAGCACAATTGAGGGCTAGTGTTATTTCAATGTGAAAATAATTGATCCTGAAAGTGTATTTTAATCATAGTGAATAGTTTTTTTATATATATATATAAATAGTGCATGTACATTTTCTACAGTGTGATCTATATATATGTGTGTATGTTCGCAGTGTACGTAGCCAACCGTGCTGGAGACCACCCCACTGATTCTAAATGACGCACACTGGATGCTTTGTTGGACAAAGCGTGTCAGGAGAGGGCTAAAATGGTTAATAAGTGGAGTGAGACTGGTTTGGAGACGTGTAGAGGCTTTCATTTAAAATGCTGTTTTCTCTGTCAGTCCTTCCCATTACGCATGTCATGCATGTTGAACTTCTTTCGCACCGTACGTAACCAACCGCGCTTATCAGAGGTGCGGGGGAAGGATAGCAAACTAAATGGAAAAATCAGTTCTGAAGAAACGAGTTTTCAATGTAGATGTTTAAAAACTCATTTCTTCCCAATTGCTTTTTGTGTTTGGTTTACCCTCGTGGTGAATCTACAAATGGATTGTCATGTGCGACTTGACATTCAAATTCGTGAGCAGTCTCATTTATTTGTCTTTATTCTTTGAGTGCTTTTCTTGTCAGAAATATTTGCTCGCGGACTTACAAGTCAGAACTTGCGGCCCTGCTTCGTGATCCGTTAATGGTTCAACTGAACCTGTCCAGCCTTGTTTTGTAAACAGCTTTTGATGTGGAAACACGGTCATGAAATTGCATTAGTAAGCAACAGTTGAGCTTAGAAATGTGTTACTTTAAGCGCGTCACCAGCAGTGACATCAATGTAATTTATCCACGCGACAGTATTTCATAAAGTTTAAAATGTTTAAAACTTTTAATAATTATCTGTCAATAACAGTGACTTTGTAGATCATTGTGAAATAAAAACTTGGACGTTTTTTGCCTGCAAACACAATGTGTGCCCAACACAAAACTGCCAAATAAGACATGCCAAAATAAATACTCTATGTAGATATGATAAGCTGAAAATGAAGTCTGACCCGACTCGTTTGATGTGCATGCTGAGTCTATACAACAGAAAGTTATATGAACAAAATGTCACGCGTGTTTGTGCAACCAGGCAACAACAATTGCACTACACTATACACTACTGTACTCGTGACTCAACCCTAGGAGACCTGGCCTATTCAAACCATCGCTTTGTTTGTCATTGTTGACTTTTTTTCAAGGTAGACAATTTAAAATACCGCAAACCCAAGTGCCGTATTACACTTTATAATCGTTATTATTTAAAGGAATTGAAACCTGAAAGAATATGACCCAATTAAAATGTATTCATTTGAATTCCTTGGTTACACGAGACAATGTACTATATAACTATTCACTTATTTTGCTATATTTTGTTGCTGTAAACATGTTTGCATTACTTTATTGTGAAATGAAAACTCACGTGATCACAGATCTATGGTCACAGCATCAATGCCACCCGAAAAAGCACGAAACGACAGCAGATTGCTTCGATTGTTCCGTTTCTGGTCACAGGCGATGTCCCTCTTGCAAGAGCTGCTGGATGACATCAACAGCCTCAAGTCAGCCAAAGAAGTTATGTTGGAGAACATCCGAAACCTGCGCGATCAGCAAGAATCAGTAAGTAATGTCATGGTAATAGGGTACTCCAGTAGGGCCTTTAATACTGATCAATACTTCATCGCAGTTTAACATATATCGGTTGTTGATTCAATGTAATACGTATTCCATCCTTGAATATAGGCCTAACTATTCGGATGTTATCACTCAACAATTGTATGGATTCGTGCGTTTGTTTGGAAATTGTTGATAAATATGTTCGTGAAACCGTTATTTGTAAGGATGTGAACCTTCCAACAAACGATCTGAAAACAAAGAGAACATGATCCCTCTTTCATCTCGAACCGATATCTTACCCATCGTCATTTATATGCATTCATTAACCAACCCTCTCCCCTGGCATTTGCACCCCAGGGGCTCACAAGTGACATCACATGTATTCCTCGATTTAAGAACAAAACAGGAGAATTTCTCCACAAATCTGGCTGTCGCCTGATGAAGCTAGTTGTAATTACTGGCGAAACGTCGTACTCAGATTGTAAATGTTGTGGATTTGCTCTCCAACACACCGGTGTTGCTGTACTAGTGACGAATTGGCACGTTCTGTTTACGTGACACACCTTACTAGTTTGCTGTGTCGGGTGGTGGCGGGTTTAACGACGCATATTTACGCGATTTAACCCTAAAAACCTCTTATGAACAATATCTTACCATAATGCTCTAATCCACACAGAGGGTATAGGCGTTGATGGTTCTTGCCTTGTCACGTGTTGTAATGTGATATGGCGTTACATTCCACTTTGTTGGTGCCTCACCCCTGATTAAAGCAGGTACTATTAAATCACACTGAGCATTTTAATGAAAGCCTAATAATATGGTACGATTACCACTTACTCAGCACTGCCCTATCTTTACTCGATGGCACTGTTGGGCCAGCATGTTGACACAGTGTTGGTGCAGAAGTTCATAACCCTCCCGTTGCTGTCGATAAACGGTGTATAAAAAAAATGTCCAGCACAATGTTTGCCTGGCTTCTGACAATTGCTATGCCACAAGCCTTGCTTGGTTAGCAACGAATGTTTTAGTCACGGGGTTGGCAGGGTGGCTTGCCCAACTCCGTTTCACAGTTCACTAGACTCCCTCCTGCAGAGAACATTATGAATGACTATTCATCAAGCTGTCCACATCACACGTGCTCAGGCCACACGGTTATAGTACGTTACGTATATGTTTAACAAAAAAAGACTCCAATGCAAACACCTACAAAATCCTCCCCAACCACTGCACTGTGTGTATCTTACAAACGCTGTGCTTATTTCCACAGATAAATGCAAACGAATTAAAGGAGCGGATGGCTGCTGTGGAGGCTTACAAGACGAGGATTGATGAGCTGGATAGAAATTTGGTAATTGATTTTAGGAATCGAATATATACTTGTAATAAATGTCACATTGAATATTCACATGTATATAATAGCAACGTTATTCACATCATAAACTGTTCATAGCTGCCTTTTAAAAACATTTTATTACTGTATATAAAATATGTGTCATCTTAGAAGGTACTACGATAAAGATATAGTTTTATGGCATGATCATTTTTGTGTAAATTAAAAATCACATTGCCATTCGAAATTCATTGCACATAACCATATATAATAATACTGTACAATTTAAACAGTTTTCCACAAACACTGCTTTGTACAATTACAGCGTGCTCGTTTTTGAAAAATGACCGGTGGTAAAATGACGTTTCTACATTTTTTAAGCACGCTCACATGGGCAACATGGACTGCCTTCTTTGTTGAAATCCGAGTTTGAGGCTACATCGTCACGCGTCTGTTTGTGTGCCCGTAGAGAGAGCAACAAAACAAACTAGGCCTTCTGCCAAGCCCGGAGGAGTTCAGGAATTGTATCACGTACAAATTCCTCCAGGAGACCTTGGTCCCAAGGGGTGGCACGTTACAGGAGGTGAGTGGAATTCTGCAACAGAAATCAAAGACACGGCAGTTATTGATAATAATGATGATATTCAAAACAACAGATACTTTGTTTTGTAATAAATAACGCGATGTAAATTATGACGTGTAAAGAAGGTGCTTAGTTGTTATACAATTTAATTAATCATCATCAGCTGTGATCATCCACAGCTATCCATAATATAGGTGTATTGGGTTAGATCGCGTAAATATGAATGTGTCATTCAACCCGACATCACCCGACACAGCAAATTATTAAGGCTTGTCACGTAAACAACATGCAAATTCGTTACTAGTACAGCACACCGGTGTGTTGGAGAGTAAACCCACACACATTTACAATTCGAGTACGAGGTTTCGCCAGTAATTACAACTAGCATCCTCAGGCGATGGCCAGATTTGTGGAGAAATCCTCTTTCGTTCTCAAATAGAGGGACAGATGTGATGTCGTCGCTTGTGATCCAATCAGGTGCGAGGGCCAGGGTGGGGGGTTAATGCATGAAGACTGGATAGTTGTGGTCAGGATAAATGAGCATAAACAAACGGCATATACAACAGCTTAATTACGTAAAACTTATACAATGAAATTAGTCATTTGTACAACTTCACTATGTCAGATATGAGCAAAATAATGGTCATGTACTGCTACTTTATTATTATACAACTTTATTTGGTAAATGACACAACTTTACAATGTCACCTCCACCATATTGCTGTGTGGGCATCGTCTCATTGATGTTCTGTCTAGACATCGAAACACTCCCAGAGTAATCACCAGCAACTAGTGGTAAATGTGCACCATCTAAGGTAATATAGAAACAATCGTACAACATCTGTCCGTTATTACAAAATATAATATCATAGTAACACGTTGTATTGAATGCCCATCTAAATTAAGGGCAAATAAAAGCAATGCAAATACAGCGTGTTACCTGTGTTATCAGCATTTTCAAGTAATCAATGCCTGCATTATGGGACCTCCTATGCCAGTATCAAAATATAAGAATAGGTTTTCCCCTTTCTGGGAATGAAACGTGTTAAGATGTTAAAACACCAAACAAACCTTTTGCAAGGAATCATGTCTGCATTAACCACATCTACCGGTACTTGTGTCGAAAATACAAAAAAAAACATGCTCTGACAGTATATGCATTGTCTTTGAAACTGATTAGTCCACACCAGAGATGGCTTTCTTGAGAGCCTAGTCTCAAACAGTGTTAGACCAGAGGACGCCAAATGGCGAACAGCACAAAGACAATGCACTATCATTGAAATCTGTCTCTAGTGTGGACCAATCAGTTTAAAATACAATGCATATACTGTCCGAGCATTTTTATTGTTTGTATTTTTACCACAAGTATTTGTGGTTAATGCAGACATGATTCCTTGCAAAATGTTTATTTGGTGTTTTAACATTTTAACACCTGTTTTATAGCCAGAAAGGGGAAAACCTATTCTTATAATCAATTCCCAGTTTATATTTATAAATACCAATGATCTGCAAAATGGCGAGTCATTGTTTGCACCCATTACATTGCTCTGATGATAGCAGATTGGAGAGGCCTTCATCCAGCAGTGGATGATGATGATGAATATTGCATTATAATCAAGGCCACGACAATCATAAAAAATCAATTCGCGTAAAATGCATGGCTATTCACGTCATATTTGCACAGCTTTGATGATTCCCCCTTTGCGCGTGGCTGGAGAGATGCCGTCAAGACTTGTGAGCGTGTCTGTGCCTCTGCTGATTTAATGAACCCCTGCAGGCGCATGCCACTGAGATTCAAGCGCAGCACAAAGAGGCGGCGCAGGCTCTCAGGGTGATTGGGCAGCTTCCCAGGCTCCACGGGGCTCTGGAGATCCGCGTGGAGGCACTGGAGGCCGATTTGCAATCAGTCCCCAACAAGAGTGAGATGGAGGCGTTGAAGCGGCAATTGGAAGACCTCGGTAATCTTGATTTCACGTGGCCTTTGAAGAGGGATTATTAGAGATGCAATTGTAAGTGATTTGAGTAATTCAGTGGCTCTGCGAGTCGTTTGAATTTGGGGCAGTGCGAAGTTACATGGTCGATGGTCTGGAGCTCCTAGATGCATTCGCACACAGGAGAGTCTTTGATTTTACACTTTGCACTTCGATATCCGCATCTCCCACGTTTTTTTTGCGGATACGTTTTAAGCGCTGCCCATTGGCAGCAGGTAATGGTCTGGCTTCAATGAGATGTAGGTGCCGAAAACCATTTAGATTTCTGACGTTCTCGTATTTGATGGCCAGACCATGACGTTTTTTTGCATTGCGAAAAAAGTATTTATTTACTGAAAATACTGCAAAGCATATCGATGCGAACTTTTTGTCAGTATCCAAAAATGATGAAAAATAAGCATAGGTTTTTACCCTCTCTGGAAATAAAACAGGAGGTGTTAAGATGTTCAAACACCACATAGATACTTTTTGCAAGACATCAAGTCTGCATTAACCACACATAGTTGTGGTAAAACATGCAAACAAACATGCTAGGATAATATATACCGTAACATATTGACACAATTCAACTTCTGTTGATTGCATCTACGCAGAAGCCTGCTAAATCGTTCTTAAGAATACTTTGGTATGATGGATTATTCCTCTTCACCGCAGCCCGAAATTATTATGTGCAACGAATCTTCCTATTGCCTGAGCCTTTATGCGGAGAAGGGGAGTGACGCAGAAGCGGTATTACATGAATCCGTTATCCACGTGTATCTGCTCATTTGCATTCGTTAAATGGGTGAATTGCGCAGGTAAGTGGGCATAATAGGATCAGCCACAAGCGGCTTCTCACATCAGGGCAGACTAAGAGGATTTCCACTGTATTCTTATTTTTTATATATTTTTGCAGTTTCCCTCACCTCTCAGTTTGATGTTAGGTTAACAAAATAATAAGTAATATTTAAAAATACTTTTTTAAAAACACGCTTTAATTAAATGTACCGTACGAGTAATGGCAGAACTCCATGACTCCAGGAAGTGGCCCCGAAGCTTGCCATAACGTCAGGGGCCGTGGTCATTTACAGCCAACGTCAGTTGAGCGTGGACAATTAGACCCAAGCCGAAACATAACATATAAAAAAGATTGTTTAAAAATATTTTGATTTTATTTATAACGATAGAATATAATATTGTCATCAGTATGATATACGTATACCAAGTCTGCAGTCGATACCACATTGGGAAGTGGGTTAAAATTGAGTTACAAGATTTGAGGATACAACAACAGAAAGAGTTGAGGATACGACAACAGACAGAATGAGTTTATAAAAAGCGTGTAAAAGAATGTTTTAAAATATATGTTTTTTATGTTTTTATGATAGAATATAGTATTGTCATCAGTATGACATAAGTATACAAAGTTTGCAGTCGATAGCACATTCGGAAGTGGGTTAAAATTGAGTTACAGGATTTGAGGATACAACAGACAGAGTTAAATAAAAGCGTGTAAAAACGGAACAATTGACCAGGCCCCACAACTGGCATATCCACAAATGTAATGGTCAAAACTGGTGTGTGATACCGCCTGGCTTGTAATATCCTTGTGCAGCTTCAAAAAACATCCCAGACAACCTCCTGCAGCAGCTGAAGGCTCTGGCAGAGGACCTCGGCAAACTGAACGGAGAAAAGGCAAAGGTAATATATACCACCGTTACTATCATCCACAATGTTCTTGTTAAGCTGTTTACATAAATGCTGCGGTGTATAACGATTATTAATCGATTATATATTCAACTGTCAAAGGACAAGGTATACTGCATTAAATGTGTGCATAGAAAGCAGAGTCATTGTTTTCAACAATCTTTTAACTGTCACCTTCCGAGGACCTGCATTCTAGTGAGATGCGTTATACCATGGGATACATGTTCAACATAAATTTAACTTGCTTCTCTAAAACACGTGGGATGATGCAAGCGGGTGACTGTATTAGCCGCGTGAAAGATATCTGTCTGGAAATAAAATCAAAGCAGTGCTCCCCCACACAGATGTATGGAGTATAATGACTGCATTGAAGACAAAATCTGAACAATACTTGTTAAAATGTTTTTACTGGCACAGCATGTCAATGATCCAGTCTTGTACATTGTATCACGGCGCTGTCATTGTCTGTTCGGAAAGCCTTTGTTTGGCTGATTAGCTCCCTGAACCCACTGTCTCGGGTGTGGACCAATCAACTTCAAGGACAGTGCATATCATTATCATTATCAAAGTTGTTTCTTTTTGTTTGCATTTTGACTGCTTGTGTTGTGGTTATTGCAAACATGATGCCTTGTATAAAGGTGTCAGTTTTTGTACCAGTTGAAAGGGTAAAAACCTATCACCACAGTATCATTATTGTCAAGTAAATGTGCGTCATTTACAAAACTAGAGTTTAATGTGCATATATTGAAATAGTGTGTAACGAGCACATTGTTTTATTATAGCGTATGGCAAGTATGTATAAATGACATGTCCAGGCTTACGTTTGGAGCCACGTGATAGTTTCGTGAGTGAGCGCGGCAGCACAGGGCTGTGGTTATTTCTTCAAAGTGTGACATGCGGAATATGTGAATTGTTTGCCATGGAGATCTGTCCCTATAATACACGATAGTTCTGTCTTGATATTTAAGAACGACCATTTTCGAAAGCAGCAGCATCAGCAGCACCCATTTTACCGTTTCTCTGTTGCTGCCGTTGTCACGATGTGTGTCAATCGTGTTCATGTTGTACTCCCCGAATCCGATTCTCAATCTCTTCAATTATTTACAGGGTTTTATGTATTTAGCTCGCGTCTGTCATTTTTTATCCTGCTGTATAGCTCTCCTTTTCTTCATTCAGCTTTCTGTGGTTTCAAACAGATCGTGTTGTTTATGTTGCCTATCACTTCCAGTGCACTGTTCATTCCGATGGCAGGCATCTCATGTCGTCAATTGCGATAATTTTTCTCATCCAGGAACTGAAATATTTCGATAGAATCTAAATTCACTCATCTCCTGAACGAGATTCCAATGCCTATTTTCAGCTTCATCTCTTTATTTTAAATGTTGAAATGTAACTTGAAACAGAAAACTCAGTGCAGACCAGATAGCTATACATTGCATACAACACCAGATACCCATACAAAGATCACCTGGTTATAGTGAAGTCAATGTGTGTGTGTGCATACGGGAATGATTGTGCATTGGTAGTGGAGAGCGGTAGTGTGTGTAGTGGTTAGCCAGTGTGCTACGAACCCGGCGACCCGAGTTCGATTCCCGCTCATGGCCACCAACACCAGTGACGATTATCTGAACCGGTCCTGGACCTCCCTTAGCTCGACTCAGCCTCAAATAAGTACCTGGTACGGTGTCTAAACATCACTACTAGGGAGACAAAGGCAGTCGGGCGTGGTGCTGGCCACCCACCCACTCGTGTACCGTGCCGGCCTTCGTAAGTGCTCCCTAACAGCACCTGCCCCAACAGTCTGTTAAGGCTATACGGGGGTTCTTTGTCCCTGTGCCTTTTGTGTGCGTACGGGATGATCGTGCATTGGCAGGACGCAGAGGCGCTTCGACTGCTGCAGGGGGCCTTACGGCAGCTGCAGGCCGACTGCGAACGGCTCGACAGCACCACGGCCCTACTGGAGGAAGACAAGGCTCAAAAACAGCGGCACGTCAATGTGAGTGGCCCCACACTCTAGTCCCACAGATGCCCGCCACGCGCACAGAGGCCCATGGGTGCCGTGGTGAGACAAGCGTAATCGTTGCAAGCTCTGAGCTTGGAGAGCCAGGTTTTAAATTGACTGTGCTGGAGATGAAAGGCCTTAGAGGTGCAGCCCCTGCTCATCATTGCGTGCTCGTGCCACTGCTGAGGCAGGGCTTTCACGAGAGCGAGCTCCAGGTGGCCCCACACTGTAACCTCCGTCACATGCCACCTGCAGATTGACGAACTGGGGGTCTGCTCATGATGGGTGGACAGAGGCAGGGGAAAGGAAGAAACTTACACCATGTGTTCAACTGTTACACCGTGCGAACGATCAAGTGGCTTCCGAATTGAAAGTCCAGCATCTCGCTAAATATGTATATTTTTGTTCAAGCATTGTTTACTGCTTTGCACTTTCCATTTGTAATTAATGTTGTGCCTGAAGGGCTTCCGTGTTTTTTTTATGTTATCGTGATTGATAAATACTGAATCGGAACGTTACAATATGTCGTTGTTGACTGTCTTTTTTTCCCAGAGATTGTTTGAGCTTGTGGAACAGCTGGAAGAGAAGAAGGCAGATAAACAGCGAGTGGAAATGGAAATTGATGTGGTAACTATTTGAAGTTCTGTTGCACTCTATTATAATGTATTTGCTACTCAATTCACATCCATACTATAGAACGATACTGACGCGCGTTTTAATGGAAACAAAGAGTCTTGAAAAAATATCATGCTGCTCTACAGGAACACAAAATGCAGATACATTGAGCCTCTCTGTTTAGCTTCTAAACATGAATATGTTGTGATTACTTAATCCCAAGTATGTATGTTGAACTTCTTTCACACTGTACGTAGCTAACCGTGCTTATCGGAGGTGCACTATGTATGTTGAATTTCTTTTGCACCATACGTAGCCAACCATATTAATCGGAGGTGCGGGGGAAGGACAACAAGCTAAACACAAAAATCAGTTCGAAAGAAGTTCGTTTTCAATGGAGATTTAAAAGTGCATAGCTCCAGTGGCATCCTAATATTAGAAGGAATAGCGTTTCAGACAGCCGCAGAAGCGCATCTTTAAAGCGGCGTGCGATGCGGTGACCGTCTCTGTGCGATGGTTATCAAAACGCTGCTGCTGCTGCGAGAATGACCACAGTTCGCGTGATGATTTTTGCTCCTTGACGAGATCAGCAAGGTAGCGTCGTTCATTTTTGGCAAGCACTTTGTGTGTCATGAGTGCGAACTTCTGACAACGTATTCGTTCGGCAACCGGAAGCCAACGCAGCTCGGCGAGCACTGGCCGGACACGGTTGGATCTTGCGGTACCTCATCCCAAGCGAGCGATGGATCTGCAGCGGGCGGACGACTACGATCGCGACCACACCGCGGCGAATGGCGTTTAACTCTTGACCCTCCTCCGTTCGAGCGTAGAAAGCGGACAAGCTGGCGCTGGACGGGAAGGTGAGCCGCGCGCAGTTCGACGAGACGGCCGAGCGGCTGGGCGCCATGGTGCAGGAGCTGCTGAGCAAGCTGGCGCTGCACGAGCACGACTGGGTGAAGACGCTGGAGCGCCTCACGCAGGAGATGGACTCCAAGGTGGGGAAGCGAAGGCCTGGGGCACCGTCGCACCGCTCGGTGGGCGGAACGTGGGCAGAGGGTAGCGATATCAAGAGAAGCGCACCACGCCCAATGTTTATGGTTACCAGATCCAACCTCAACATTGTTCGTTGTGTAATGAACCACTGTGCACTGTTGCCCATGGCATACGTAACACGCACGTTGTGTCCCATAGCAGCGCGCGAGCGCCTGTTTGACGGTCGGTGCGATACCGGCGTTACGTACTCTGGAAGAGCAAAGCTAAAGTGTGAAGGCAACCTTGATTTGAAGCTTTCGTGACTGCAGTAATCCATACTGTTTGGTTCTTTCAGTAAAGTCACGTAGGTAGAAAAAATCATTGATCACGACGTTTCGATCGCAACACAAGCGTCCGTCATCAGGTGGGAAAGCATGGTCTGCTGCTGAGGCAGTGTGTTGCACCCGAAACGTCGTGATTTATTTTATTTCATACCTACGTAACTTTACCAAAAGAACCAGAGAGTGTGAAGGCAACGTTTTAGACGATGGCCAGTGGTGACTATGGGGGCATGTTGCTGAAAGGCTGACCGTCTGTTTTTATTCAATTCAGTAATGATTATTTCTTTTTTTGCCAACTATTTGACGTGTTGACAGCAACCAAAGTCGCAGTCGAAGTTTGGAGGTCACACCGATTTTAAACGCATCGGCAAATATCTATTGTGTGGCTCAAATCGGTTCACATCATTCACACGTACAAATTGACGATGCTAAGGACAATCCACGACCTTCAGTTTAGTTTGAATGTCTCTGAAGCGATGCAGGTTCAAAGAGAATAGATATTGTACAAAGTCTCCGCAGCGTGAGTTCGTACGGCAGTGTAGTGGGAAGGCCGATCGTTCGAGAAGCAAATTAACGCTTCCATACGACAGGCCCATGAATAATCACGGCAGGGTGGCTAGCACGCAAACAGCGTTAACGCAGACTGCGAAAAGAGGCAGGCGTGAGGGGGATACGTGGCGAACATTGGCCAGATCGGGTTGCGTATGCATCCGACAGTGGGCAGCATTCAGCAAACCATGCAATGGTTCGTCAACACCCGTTCATGATGCAGTGAAGAGCCATCGTTCCTCAGGCTCCTCGTTCACGTCCGTGTTGTCTTGTCTGTTCCGTCCCACGTGGCTTGTCCGTCTTGACTCTGCTCTCTGTGTTCGTTTTTCTCCTGTGTACTGTGCCATCTGCACTGTCCATCCCATTTGTAAGTACTGTTTCATTTATAAGCACTCAACTCTTAAAGCCTTGGTTATCACGAGTGAGCAATATCCACATATTGTGAGCTCTATTCAAGACTTCTCTCTTGCATTTTATACTGAACTGGTTAAATGTCTGCAAAGAGTATTGCACTGTCTTTGATTGTCAAATTAACAACATATACAAGCATACAATGTATCCTTCCTTGTCTAATTAGTTTGCCTCATGCGTTACAACCATAAATAGAAAATAAATGGAGCTACGCACACGTGACTTGATGCATATTTCATGCCTTTCATAAAAAAAAAATTTGATAAATGGAGCAGAAAGAGATGCTGCTGAATGCTTGTACCACACACCGTATGTGTAAGCAGGATTGATCGAGCACCTGTGTGTTGTGTGTGTGGCTGTGTGTGTGTATTGTGTGTGTGTGGCTGTGTGTGTGTGTGGCTGTGTGTGTGTGTGTATTGTGTGACTGTGTGTGTGTATTGTGTGTGTGTGGCTGTGTTGTGTGACTGTGTGTGTGGCTGTGTGTGTTGTGATGTGTGGCTGTGTGTGTTGTGCTGTGTGGCTGTGTGTGTGTGTGTGTGGCTGTGTGTGTGTGGCTGTGTTGTGTGACTGTGTGTGTGGCTGTGTGTGTGTATTGTGTGACTGTGTGTGTGTGTGTGGCTGTGTGTGTGGCTGTGTGTGTGTTGTGTGTGTGGCTGTGTTGTGTGACTGTGTGTGTGGCTGTGTGTGTGTATTGTGTGACTGTGTGTGTGTTGTGCTGTGTGGCTGTGTGTGTGTGTGGCTGTGTGTGAGCAGCTGGACCGGATGGATCTGGATCCGCTCAAGAAGCAGCTGGAGGACCGCTGGAGGGCCTTCAAGAAGCACCTCCAGGAAGGGCCCAGGATCGAGGCTGATGATGCCGCTGCCTTCCGCAAGTAATGGGCACCGAGAGCCGCCACCAGCAAGCGGCAGGGTCGATAGTCACATCCAGGCTGGTGCATGCCCCCGAACGCGTGTGATCAAAGTCACCGGCGGTTCTTCACGGCAACAGTCACGATGGGTTGTTATTGTTGGTACATATTTTATTGGCATGAGAATGAGAGGCTTGGGATATATTTTATATTGGTTATGTTAAGTTTGACTCTTTCTGGATCTTGTTCCCGATGTAATGTGTGACGTGGTTCCAATTGAAACTTTGCGTATCTAAGTTCTAAATTTGGTTGCGCGAATTGTACTTCAACTCACCCGTGAGCTGATACAATATTAAAACAATATTAATCGGTGCATTCATTGCTTGTACACCACTTGACAATTCATTAGTTTGTCTTTGGTTGAGGGTTCCTAAAGACAGATTAATCAGATAATTATGAGGCCTAGCCTGGAAAGTAAATTATGATTTATTAAATACTGTCTTTGTAAGTGGGTGCAGCAAAATACATTTTCCGTTTTATGGATGTTGTATGTTGCTAAATGCATTTGATGTTTGCCTATGAACGTAAACCACACACAACGTGCCTGACCTCATCACTTCTTTAAAGCTCAGCAGGCTTTGATCCTGCACAGCGCTGGGATGGTTGAGCACCGTGCACAACCAGGCGCTGTCAGAGGCTTTGCGAGGCTGATTGGCAGTAGAGGACAGTGGAGCAAAAACAACCGCTGTACTGTACTTCTATGATTCCCCTGCTATGCCCCCCACCTTCACCAACCCATCATGGTGGCAGGCTATGCTCATGTAACCCTCACGGTCTTCACAGGCATTGGGGGGGGGGCCTTATCCAGCAGTGGATTGACAATTGTAAGTATACAATTGTTATTGTTAGGCTGCTGCAATACACTAACCAAGCCAAAAACTGACGTTGACATTCAATTTCTTTCAGGCAGCTGGTGGCAAGGTTCAACTGTCTCTCCTGTGACCGGCCAGTGGATTTGATGCCAGGACCGTACGTAATACAATCAGGGTTAATGAAGACACTAATTGTACATTTTTAACTGCCGTCATGAATTAGTCTTGGGGGTGAAAAATAAAGTTTCGAGTCACGAGAAGGCGGCCAATGACAGGAGTTGCAATGTTCTGCCAGCAGAGAGCGTTGAGGAGTTGTAATGCAATTATATTTTTAGTCAGGAGTAAAAAAAAAAGTGTAACAATAAAAAGCTATTTAATATTTTAGATATGCAATACATTGTATCATTGAATATAACTTGGCCTTACATGTTATTGTCTTCAAATATTTTTTTATATTAACTGGTAAATTGTGTATAATTCGTTTAGCGGTCTGTTTACTTTTTTATTTTTGCCTTTTGCAGCATAGGTTTATTTTTGTTGGATGTGCTGCGTAGCGCTTTGTTTTTCGCGTTGTACCACCGTAAGTCTTCCAATGTTTTGCTTCGTGTGCCGTGAGATTCTTCAGGATCCGGCTGAAGTAGCTCACATTCACCCTCGACGTCATGCCAAACGACGTGGCGGTACAACTCGAAAACCCATCGGAAGGCTGCTGCCACGTTAATTTTCAACCCTCAGCGGTCACCGCTTAATCGGTGGACATTGCTGGACAGCATAACGCCGCAGAAGGCCGGGGCAAAATCGTTGAGAGGTCTAAATGTTATTCCATCTCAGAGGCAGCAGCGCATCATGGAAACCACTTGAGAGTCGCCGCGTGTCGAGATTGAATGTGACAGCGCTAAGTACGGGGCTGATGTTCCGTTGTGGAAAATCAATGTTGGACACAATTGACCACAGATGCTCAATGCCGGTACTGACCTGTCACCTGTTCAGATGTATTGTCTGCGATGCGCAATTCCCAGCCATGCTTTCTGTCTCCATAGACTGTAGCACTAACTCGTTGAGGAGCATGGCAAAGGCTGCTATTGCAAATTAAGTTTCCGACTCTCCCTGCTCTGCTACTTTAGGCATATGATCACCTTACCAGCTACGCAAGGGTTTCCGCCGAGCCGATCCGTCCGGCCTTACACGGTCTACGACGTCGGACACATACGTCACAATGCCAAGAGGTGAGCTGCAACACGATCGCAAACCGCACAGCCCTCATGTCACGGACACAACAACTTTCACACAACAGGAGCCAACCAAGGCGATGTGAAGCCATGTCTACAGCCCAGACTACACAGGCTTGCGTGCATATTGTGACTATTCTAGCAACATTTTATAGCTACTGCATTAAAAACTATATCACCAATGACAGTGGAAATGCATGGATAGATGACATTCTGGTAATTCAGCATGATCAGTGACATACAGATATAATAAGGAAAGCACATGTATGCACTACAAACACACATTTAGCTGGTGTTCTATTTTCACACGCAAATTGGTTCGGTAGGAAAAAGCCCTTCAGCAGCTCAACTTGTATTTACAAAATAAAATAAATACACCCTTTTTTTATTAGCACAAAGCTGAGACCATTTGCACACAGCGCTGGCACATGCTCCCACGGCCTCACGCGGCTCGCTGGTTTTCCAGTGAGAAGGAGCTCGCCGAGTATGCCTACTGGGCGTCAGCGCGACCTTGCGGGGGCAGCCACACGATGACGTACACGGCCCGCCGATTCAACAAAGCTCAGAACCTCAACCAGATCTACCTGTCCCAGTCGGTGGAAAAACAGCAGCCCTACACGAAGGTCAGTGGGCCAACACACGCACGCACTCAAGCCGGCACTTCCGTGGGCTACGTACGCCAAACCACTCGAGGTTTATTTTTTGGACGGCCGCGATATTAACTGGTGCGATATCAAGTGACTTCGATACAATTTTTAAAGCAGCAAAACAATATAGGCTTCAAGGTTAATGTACATAGAATGTAAGAAATTAATAGGTTTTTGATAGCAAAAGCATCCGTGAAGTTTGTGAAGTCCCGTTTTGTTAATTTTTTTGTCATCTTCATGAATCTCTCTACGTACTGACTTACGGCTCTCAGGAAGGGGTCGACATCATGGGCTTGAATGGGCAGATTTACAAGGGAAGGGCTTCCGGTCGCCTCCCTGATCTCCAGCCTGCTCAGCCCACCGAGGACTTTCCCACTGGTAAGCCCACGTGCTCTGGCAGTACGCATGTCGACCCACGGGAATAGGCTTTGCCTACCAACTAAAGTATTTTGATTTGCCGAGCCATGCTTCAATTCACACTTTGACCCCCTGTGTGATTTACTCCAGCACGAAAAATATAGTGCACAGAAAAATAGCTTATGAACGGACATGCATCAAACAGTTGTTCACACAAACTCATTTATCTGCGTGAAATTAACAAATAATTCTTAGAAAATTGTTATATAACGTTTTGATGTCACAACATTTTTTTTCAAGAAAGTTTTCGGTTTTCAAAACTCTTTACTGACCATTCACATGACTGTAGACATTAATTTTAAGTTAATTATAAATTAACGGTGCTGCAAAGTGGGGGTGATGGCAGGTGCCAGGTCCAAAATGGAAATCTACCGCAAATGTATTACACGTGTAATGACAGGGTGACACCTGCTGGCCTGGAAGGGGAATCACGGGTACGGGCACGGTTAAGTACCAACCAATCAGAGAGGGAGGTGTATCTTGAGCAAAGGTAACAGGCGGGGCTAGCCGAGGTACTCCGGGAACCTGCTCGAAGGTTCCACGAGAGGGCGTGGCCGGAGGCGGGGCCTAGCCACGCCTGGGGGAAATAAGAGGGAGCGGCCCCGGGGCTCATGTGTGGGGTCCTGGGTCCCGGCTGCGTCGCTGCTTGCCGACATCTCTCTGTCGTCCGGCCACGTGGAAGATCTTCTGCGTGGTTTCCATCGCCGTCATCGTCACGCCGCCAGCCAGCGGACGTAGCCGAGTGAGGGCGATGGGACCAGTAGCCAGTAGAGACGTTAATATCTAAGTGTTGTACTCAGAGTGAGAGGAATAAGTGTTGGCCTGTGTGGTGCCCAGTGTGAGTAGTAAAGAAGAAGTACCCTCTACACGACGTGTCGCGGAAGTCACTTATTACACATGCATTCATGTATACATTTTATATTTAGCACAATACATATTAATTTACAATGTCAAAAAAAAAATGCCTATCGGGTTATCACTATAGCCATCGGTGGCAAATGGTTTTGTATGGGGCTTTTGCTCAAAACTGCAAAATCAATCAGCCTGCCAACCCGACCTCCTGCTGCCTCCCACCGGCATCAATGGTGCGTTGGCGCTCGGCAAGTTTGTGGCCTACATTATTCCCGCCACCGACAAGAGTAGCGCGTGCTTTGTGTGCAGTGCCCCCATCGCAATATAAACATTGCAGCCCGATCCATCCTGCGAAACAGAGCGATCGATCCATCCGTTTGTCTCCCAATTGAAGAGGACGCGAGCGTTCAGATGGCATACAGAGGAAGCCGGAGCACAGTACAGCGGAGGAACAGCGGCGGAGCGGAAGTGCGGGCCGTACCCACGCGGCCCCAGAGCGCTCGCCTGCCGACGAGGGCACGGGCAGGTGCCTCGCGCACGACGCACGCACGACACCCACCACGCTGGGGCAGCCAGAGTCAGGTTGACACGTCGCAGCGTGGCCGTTACATTTCGTGTTCTTTAGGCCGTTGTCTTAGTGGCCGGTCTTCGGCTCACACTCCCTCCACCCTGTCTGACATTGAGCGCTCTTCTTCATTCCACCGCATAGACCCCTTTCCGTCAAGTTGTCCAGCAGCATTTCATTTGTTCTGCCTCTTGCCCTCTTCACAACATTCGTCCCTCCAGATCTTTCTATATCAAGGTTTCGCCTCTTAACAATATGCTTTTCTCTGCTGTATTATTCTAAGTCGACTTCCCTCCTCCCGAGTCTGCTCGAGGACTTCCATGACATTTACCGTTTTAGAATAAATGCCGTAGCCATTTGCTTTTGTTGTACATTCTGAAACGATGGTACAGGGATGGACGGATACATTATGCAGACGAATTAATATTCGCGCACATGATCGTCCTACCTTTCACAAGCTATTATGATCTCGAGTGGTATGATGTATTTTAATATTTTGCCACTTTGTGTACAAGAGGCAATACGAAATGTAAAATTAATATATAAACAGATTCTTGCTTTTCCCCGAGCTGCTTTTTACCGAGACATGAAACGGTGCGGTTTTACTGACGTGCAAAAAATACGTCGCATCAAACAATTAAAAGCGTCAAACGAGCGATGGAGCCACACGAAGCGGAGGTTCCACATTCCTATTGGCCGTGGCAATTCTTTCCTGACGCCAACCGTTAGGTGACTTCTCATGAGGCGCATCCCCAACGCGTTCTCAATTGCCATGCGTCGTTGTCGTTTTGTCGTCAAGTTTCGGCGCGGCCCTCGGTCCGCGAGCGGCCGACCACCTCCCTGGGTCGCTTGAGCGGCGAGCGGCAGGCAAGCGCGGCCACGCTCCTAATGCAGCCGTCCGCCACCGCCGCCGCCACCTCCTCACTCGCGCAGCACCGGCAGCAGCAGCGGCAGCAGCACCAAGTTGACGGAGCCTCCATCGCAGTCAGCATCCCCGCCGCACCAGCCGAACCGCCAGGCTCGCCAGACACTTTGCAGCAGCAGCAGCAGCAGCAGCTTGTGTAAGCGACGAGCGGACGGGAGCCATGACATCGTCCCTTCACCGCTGCGGTTTTAAAACAGCACGGGGGCCGGAGCTACGCTCACGCTGGTTGCAATGTTGTGAGCGGTGAAATCCACTCGATGTCATTGTACTCCTGGGCAGGTATTGGAGATTCACAATGGTCGGCAACGTCTATGATCGGAGGCTCTAAATGCACGTCCTGTCAAAGCGGGTCATTTGAGTTGGCAAAGAATAACGTGAAGTGGCTTCCAGTGTGATACAAACTAGAAAATAATTATTGTTAAAAATTAAGGCATTTCCATATCGGTAACTTTTCTCTCCCAAAGTGGAACATAGCCATAGAAAAGAAAGCTCTTCCTGATGAAATACAAATTATTGCAGCTGCTGTTTTGGAGCTGTAGAATAACTTGTGAAAGAGTCAAAATCACGTGGTTTGATTCTTGCAGGCAGATGCCTCAACAAGAAGGGTCGCAGCACAAAAGGCCGTAGATGATTATAGTTCATAGTTTCTATAGTTTATATTCTAGAGAAGGGTGAAAGCACGAAGGGCTGGTAATGAGTATAGTTTGAGAGCCGCAATCAAAGTAGAGCAGCATAATTTATTTCAAATAAGAAGTGTAATGTCTGTCTACCAAAGTAAGAACCACTAAATACAGTTTTATTGCATTCACAGTCTGAATGGTATTGCGACCTAAGGACGCCAAGTGGCACGTGACACGATGATGGTGTTGGGTTAAACCGTTGAGAAAAGCTGGCATCTCCGTGTCGGGTCACTAAATGTCACAGTCGGTGCAGCCTTTTTGCCGTGTTTGTGTTCATGAGCATCTCCGTTCGTCCAGCAAGTTCCTCAACGCAAAGGGCTTGGCGTGTCTGTGCACACGCAAGCCACAATCAGTCATTGCAAGGCAAAGGCCCAACGAGAAGGGATGAACCAAACTCACGTGCGGCAATATTCCCACGTGGAGCGGTGCCTGATCCTAGCAAAGGGGACAATGCCCGTGCAAGGTGTAATCTGGTGTATGTACGTGTGTGTACGTTGAACTTCTTTCGCACCGTACGAAGCCAACCGTGCTAATCGGAGGTGCGGGGGAAGAGCGTTCCAGACGATCGCAGAAGCGCATCTGGAAACGCCGCGCGATGCGGTGGCTCTGTTTGTTCGATGGCAGCAGCCAGAAGCTGCTGCAAGGATGATCGGAGTTCGCGTGACGTGCTAGTTACTCCAACTCGATTTGTGAAGTATTTATATAATGGGATACATCAACTTGAATTTTATTAAACACGTTAAGATGTTTATGTGATGAAAGAAAACTACGAAGTGCCTAAAGGTGTCTTGAAAAAGCCAATATGCTGTCGCGTGTATACTGTCATTGTAAACGAGTATTTGACATTGTAAAATTTATGGTGGCAAAAAGTTAATTCCATATTCACGTGTAAGGAAAATATATATATAATATAAATTTTTACATATGCTAAAAGTAGTTTTCTATTAATAGTTTCCCACCTCCCACCCCCGTATTGTGATGTTTTTGAAGCTTTTTTTACATCCAATTGTATGTCGATACACATTCGAGAGCATAATGCACTTTATGGTGATGTATCAAAATAGAGTTTTCACGCTTTACCCACATCGGTTTTCGATTTACTTTAGTGTGTATAGGGTGCAGTACTTCATGGATATGTTACTGATAAGCACACGTCTTTAAAGAAGTGTTTTTTGTTCGCCATGGATTCTCCTACCAAAGCAACGTCCAGCGGTCTGTCCGCTGTGGTTGGTGATCTACACAATGATTGCACGGTTTCACGAGGGAAGAAGGGGGAATTGCAGTAAATTATATCATTGTGGGTGGTATTGCACAGATGTACAACAGCTCTCACAGTGCTGCCTGCAGTGTGGTACTGAGGCAGCAGTCGTAGTCTTGAGTCTTCGTCGAGTAGGGAACAACCTATGGAATTAAAGTATCGTCTTAGTCGTCCAAATAATACATTCTGACTAATAAAATAATTCTCACGGCGTCAGACGCTGTCTTCCCGACAGACCTGTTCTTCACCTGAGGACGGCTGCTTGCGTTGTGGCCGAAACGTCGTGAGACTTATTTTATTACGTTTTATTTTTATTATTTTATTATTTCCCTTCTACGTGACTTTACTGAAAGAACCAAGAAGATGAATCCCTGCAGTCACGAAAGCTTTAAATCGAAACAATCTGACTAATTGAAAACGGGACACTTCAGAATCATAATAGTTATTTAGACGGCAGGAGGAATCCGATGAGCTATAAATTTTTTTTTACAGATGTCCAGTAAGGGGGGGGGGGTAAGAACGTTAGAACGACAAACAATAAAAAAGAACACGATCGTAGTGCAAAGTGCAAAATAGGTAAACATCACCCAAACACAAGAACAACACTAAACCATCGCTATCCCATGAGGCGAAGCCCACTCAGGTGTTACATTATTTTTCAGAAGCGACCTGTCCACAAATGATAGCTCAACAAAGTGGCTTATTATTTGGACATTTATAGCAGCAAATCAATCTAATCTCAATGAATGAATTCTTAGTCCCATAAAAAAGAATGCTACGACACGTGGACACGTGTTGGTTAGTCGGCATTTTTGGTTTCATGAAATCCTAAGATTTGACTTGAGATTTTACTAAGATTTCCACAGGTTCTCAGAGACTCGACAAAAACTCAAGACAGTACAACTCTTGACATCCCTTGCATCTGCACGATTCAACTCGATTTTGTTTGACATTTTAGATTGAGGATATACTGTACACGTTTACAAATTGGAATGTCTTACCTTTATTTGTTGAAGTTGATTAAAGCTGAATCAATGTTCTGTGGCTTTCTTGATATGCCTTTACATTCTATGTGTAGCAGATAAGAATTTACATTTTTGTTATCGCAAGATATCGTACCAAGCAATGTAAACGATGGCCATTCCTCGATATACGAAATTCCATAAATCGAACTCTATTTTACCATTGGCTTCCATGATATAACTGCAGATGCGTTCGTACGGGGAATAAAAAAAATTGGCCCAAAAATGTAATAAACTCACACCTAATAATGCCGCAAAACCTTTTAAAGCACATTTAATGGAAATTCTATAATTTCATAACATATGAATAATAATAAGTCGTCAAAAAACGGCAAGGTAACATCAACGTTGCAGTGATTGTCCGTATATTAAGTTGCTGTACAAGACAACACTTCGATACAGTATATACAAAGTCCACTGTTGCCTAAGGCCACAATGAAAGACAATATATTTTAACTGCTATGAGCTCATGTTATGTTGTACAAGTGGAAGTAGAATTGGTTTATTGTCTGTTATCTGTTGTTTACGCTACTCAGGGGAGAGCAGTGCTGAATCATACCCTGCACACATGGTGGTCCAGGTGTCTTAGTACCCCCCCCCCCCCCCCCATTTAATTCTCTGAAACGTAATAGTTTAGTTTTTATATATAAGTAAGGTTTATTTCACACGAAAATGAACCCACACGCTTTAAGCAGCACTGCACGTGGCAGTTGTGGAGCGGTGGTGCAGCGGTTAGCGCGCTGCGCTATGAATCCGGCGACCCGAGTTTCGATTCCCCGCTCACGGCCAACACCGGTGACGATTATCTGAACCGGTCCTGGGCCTCCCCTAGGTCGACTCAGCCTCAAATGAGTACCTGGTGCGGTGTGTAAAAACATCGCCGCTGGGGAGACAAAGGTGGCTGGGCGTGGTGCTAGCCACCCACCCCCTCGTGTGCCGTTCTGGCCTTCATAGGTGCTCGCTAACAGCACTTGCCCCTACAGTCTCTTAAGTCCATACGGGGGGAGGGGTCCAATAGGAACTGCCTATGATTGACTTGTATATCAGAGAGCAACACGCGTATTACTTCTGAATACTTACCAGTCGCATAAAGAAGGGACAAGGCCCTGATTTGTTTTAAGCTCAGGAGACTGACTATCTGTTAAAATTATTGCTTTTCCCAGTACATAAGTTATGATTCAGTGGCATCAGGCATCCGAAGGGATACATTCGTATCCCAATACCCGCCTAAGTGGAATGGTAGAGAAGTTCACTACGCGTCGTGGTTTCTGCGATGGCAATTCCCCCCCGCCCCTCCAACCATTTGAGAATTTTGGTCGAAAATCCATTCAGGGTTTAATAACAATAACAATGCACAGGACAATGAATGTGGGAACACGTGGCACGTAATCGATGATGTGAAACAAGCGTGGACGTGCCTGGCAGTTTCCACCGCATCTCAACCTCCCGAAGTGCATGACACGGGAGGCAGGGGCCTCATCCAGCAGTGAAATGGCAAAGTAACAATGACAGTTTTTTTTCGATTTAAAGCACCTCCTACGCATTTCACAAGTAGTACTAATCACATACCTGCATTTTCCATAAATATGCTAAATTCCTCTTGATATGCAAATTATTTTGTCAAGGCGCCCTTCCCCCCTTCCAACCCAGCTTAAATAGACGCTGCCAAGCGTGGTGGTGTTTCATTCAGACGCTGTCTCCCCGACAGACCTGGTCTTCACCTGAAGACGGCTGCTTGCGTTGTGGCCGAAACGTCGTGAGAATTATTTTAAAATGTTTTATTTTTATTATTTTATTATTTCCCTTCTACGTGACTTTACCGAAAGAACCAAGAAGAAGAACCATGACAGTCTTTTAACTACCCATATTTGTACCATCTTATTTGACAGGTACTTTTCTACTTTACTGAGTGTTGACATCCCCAGCGTTTAACAGTACTGCTTTTTTATATTTGTATTTTCAGCCAACACCTGTTTAGGTCGAGGTACACCGATTGTTCGCTTGTAGCCCCGCCCACCCCCCAACACGTTCCATTCCCTGTCTACCACATTCAGATAAGCCCCCCCTCCCCCTTAGCTTGTATTTAAGAGCTTGACTCTTGGAATTTTGCCTCACTTGAGACAGTAAATTTAGCTGTGACGGTCCCACCTGATGACGGAGACTTGTGTTGCCTCCGAAACGTTATTTTATTTCTATTATTTTTTCAAATAAATTATGTATTATTTATTTTTCACCTACGTGACTTTACTGAAAAAACTTAAAAGAATGTCAGTCTAGATTTGAAGTTTTCGTGACTGCAGGGATCCATACTCTTTGGTTCTTTCGGTTGCTATAGGCAATTGTTTCTTGCTGTGGTTGTCCCACCTGATGACGGACGCTTGTGTTGCGCCCGAAACGTCGTGATTTCATGTATTTTATATTATACCTCCGTGACTTTACCGAAAGAACCAATGAGTAACAATGACTGCGTGGAGAACGTCGCTCGTGCAAAACTACATCTCACACAAGAAAACATGTGTACTGTACACGAACAAAAACACATGCTGGCGTGCACGTGTGCTAAAGGAGCACACTGGCCACACAACGGAACTTTCATTTAAACAAAATTAAAACCTCTCAACACTTTAGTGAAGAAAAAAAACACCGTGGCCTTGAAGGGAACAAAAATCTAATCCGCGATGTAGCTACAGTTTCTTCATAGCAGATAGATAAACATAACAGTGTGAAAGAAAACCCCATGGATTTGTGTGAAGTCTTTATGCCACCAGATCGTGTGTGTGATGCTGGTTAAACCGGTGTTGGATACTTAATTTGTCAATCAAGCGAACGACGGAGTGATTAAAACAATGATCAGACTGCTGCTACGTGTGGACCTGCACGCAGTGTTTCGTTCATGAGCTGTAAAAAAACACAACCATTAAGGCATGGAAAGCTTCCCCATAGTTCGGTTTAGCTCAGTCACACACACGCACACACACACGTTTCTTTGTAAAGAGATTCCGAAAAAAAAGTGTGAGAAAAACCACTCCTCCACGTGGGTCGAAGGGTTGGGGGGGTGGGGTCTATTACACGGATAAACAGTTCATGATGTACCCTGGCAGGCTTCCCTTGCAGCAGGGGAGGACTTTGGAATATGAGCATCAACAGCTGTCCCCAGATTTCTGATCCTCATGGCCCAGCAACAGTTGTGTCCCATTCATTAACAGTGATCCCAACACAAGGCGCACGCATGGTTTCTCTTGTTCTCCTTCTTAAGGAAACACAGTTTCCCTTTGAGAGAAGGCATCCTACGACAGCTGAACCCTGGTCAATGCACAATATGGACACGGACAGAGTTCATTGTTCCTTATGCAACTGTGTGTACTCAATTTAGCAAGAACATTTAATCCATGAAAGGGACAAGGCTTTTAGGCGAAAATCTAGCGAGTAAGAGCTCTCATCCACGACCCTATTACCTACAACTTATATTATCGATAGAAGATGTAGGGTCTGCGAAGCTCCAGTTATCCACAACCCCATTCTTCCTGTTATCCGCAATTTTTCTTCATATGAGTGGGGTAAAGTCATGGATAACATTGCGGATAGCACGATCCACAATGTTCGACCCCTACGGCACCGTGGGTATGAGTCTTGGTGTACACTTTCTCTCGCCCTTACATGCAGGCTCCACATCAAAGATGGAATTACCACCTTTAAACATCCGTCGTAAAGTGGTGTCCGTAAATTTTAAGTGACAGATTGGGAGGTAGTGGTTGTGTTGCTATGAAAATCAATACGCTCTATTTATATGCAGCAAATTTAATTCAATTACTTACAAGACAGTAATGCTAAAACGAATTAGCTTATGGACATCTCAAACACATAAACCATAGGGACAATTGCACTCAAGTTATTAGGTAGTTTTCGGGGAACTTTCATTGACATATGTGACGTTATTCTCAAAAGTTCCTAAAAATGTAAGTCCATTGGTTTTTCCAGACCAATATCATCCAGCAGCATGTTTTTAACAACTGTCTGTTGAGACCCAGAGAGTTGAAACCAGTCCCGAGTTTGCTTGCTTAATAGCATTCTGCTGGAATAATATTGGTCTGAAAAGCCAAGAGGCCAATGGCATACACAAACATGTTTTAATTATGTGAAGACAGAACGTAGTTTCGCGAAACATGCTTTCACTGCACTCCGAGTAATGTTTTTTTCCGAAAGAGGAACACAAATAAGAGAAGTGAACTGAAAACACGACAGGTCAGAAAAATATAAAAAGTAAAAAAACGTGGGTCTCAGTCACAATCTGAATCTTTATACAGAAGGAATCCGATGAGCTATGAAGCTCTTTTCCACAGATGTCCAATAGTGGCGGGTCAGAACGTTACAACAACAAACAACACAAAAACACGATTTTGCCCAGTAAACCAGGCCACAAATGATATTTCAACAAAGTGGCTTATCGTGTGTACATTCGTAGCAGCCAAATAATCTCAACGCAGGTTTCTAAATGTAGAAAAACCGGAGAGAAAAATCCACGCGACCACGGGGAGAACATGCAAACTCCAAATAAACATGCGGCAGGATCGATCCCCTGACCTCCTGGATACCACGCGAGGGAGATAACATCCCCGTTCAACCAGCTCCACCTCATCTCCGCACTGCCTCACTCACAGTCTGGCCCACGAGGGGGTGGGTGGCCAGCACCACGCCCGGCCGCCTTTGTCTCCCCAGTGGCGATGCTTACTACACATCGCACCAGGTACTCATTTGAGGCCGAGTCTACCTAGGGGAGGCCCAGGACCGGTACCGGTACAGATAATCGCCACTGGTGTTGGCCATGAGCACGGGGCAGATCCAGGTGCCACAGGTCGACTGAGACGACTGGATGATGCACCACCTGTGTCCTCTACTGTGCCAACTTGCTGTCCTTTAGCCACCCGGCGCTCCGCTCGTTGTTGTGAGCGTCGCTCATCCGCCCTCCGTTGTTGTTGGAGGGCGACTGCCTCCAACTGCCCAGTAGCGTCCTTCACGAG